AAAAAAGTTATTTTTTCGGTTGTCAAAGAGTAACTCAAAAGGTTTCCAACCAACCATGAGGGTGACGTTGGCGAGTAACAACGTCACAAGAATATAGGGCTTTTCATCATGCTACCTCGGTTATTGTCAAGTCAATATCACTGAAACCGATATTTTTACGTCAGGCAATCCTACTCATATTTTTACCCTAATACTGACAGAAACTCTCTGCTCTAATTTGGTACTCAAGGTTAGCAACTTTACGTCGATTTTACTCTCACACGCACACGTACGCGCCGTATGCGTATTGTTCTTAGCATGTTCACGCTGAGAAAATGTAGCCAATGTTTGTTGATACTTCCTTACAAATATTCACGTGTACCAAATCAGCTATATTCTCTAAATTCTATCCTTAATCAAAAATTCGTGGGATTCATTGGGCGGGGGGATTTGTTAGCTTTTGAATAATACAGCTACTCTCAACCATTAAGACTACCGTCGGAAGGCTTTAATGATAATCCTTGAGAAAGATAAATGCTCCAGTAAACCCAATGCACAAGAAAATCAAGGCTGTTATTGATGCGCAAGGGAGATGATGATATTTTTTTTATTTTAATTTTGGGGGTTATCGACATATCAATTTCAATAACTCAGGAAATTATCAGTTAAAGTCACACAAAATTTTGATTACTTGTTGTTTAAAGTTGAATTTAAATGTTTGATAACAATACTGGAAAACATATTGGAAATAAACGTTTTAATTTTATTCAAAAGTTTATTATGCATTTCTTTTTCCTTTCAGTATATATCAGGAATATATATATTTTTGCATTGTCTATTTTATTTAAAGGGTTGTTGACATAGTAATAAAGTTATAAATAATATCTAAAGATTAACAAAATCCCCAGCCCTACTTCGAACATCTGCCCATTTTTCCCGACACTGAAAATGTGACGTTAAAAACTTGAAAGGCAATGTAGCTTTGATAAATAAAAACCGCGTTCGTTTTCCTTAAAATTCCTTCAATTACTTATCTTCATCTAAGGCTTTGATTTCTTGAATTAATTAACAATTATAACATATACAATACAGATTGCCAATATAAATTAAAATAAATGCAGCATTCATCTTATCTTCAGGCACATAGCATCGTTTTAAAAAGTGGGGGTTGGGGGGGTTGGGGGGCAGCCACAGAAATTTGTTTTTACTTACCTGAAAAAAGTTGGCAAGCCAAAAAATAATAATAATAATTAAAAAAAATGAAAAAGTGGCCAGCCCCCCTCCCCTCACCCTGTTGCTACGCCCCTGATCTTATATCAAACAGTAGATTATTCTAAATTAGCTGCAGAACTATAGCGTTATGGTTTCATATTTTAGTTTCTGACCGTACCGTTATGGTCAAAGATATAGATATACTCGTAACACCTTATAAAGCTACAGTTCTATTCAGCAGTCAAGTCTCACTGCACAAATGTAACCTTTATAAATGTTATGAAATATAAATCCTTGCATTACTATACAGTGTAGAGACGATTCATGATATTTCATAACTTACGAGGGTTGTCCGTAAAGTTCGTGGACAAGCTAAGAACTAAGTTGAAGTTGCGTCATTGATAATCATTATTAGCATATTTCTAATCCTTTACTAAATGTGAACTGGGAAATGTAAAACCTGATTAAATTTCAACTATATAATTACAATTATGACTTCATAATAAGACTTTGTATGGAGACCCGGAGCACCGCAAACTGTTAATTAAAAAATTATCTATCTCTTTATAAATTTCGGTTGTATTTTTAAAAATTCTGCAGAAATCTGGATGACTTTTACATTATGAGGTAGACAGGAGCTATCACTTCAAACCTGCAAAATTTGATCATTCAAAATTTTAAAATGGCTAAGCAATAAAAATAAGAACATGCTAAGATGGATCGGAATTGTTCAAAAAGGGACGTTTTCGGAATAGGTGGAGCAGTGAGCAGGGATAAAATTCTGCGTAGACATCGGATAAACACCTACAGAGACCAATACATTTTGTGAACAATCGGGAAGACATATAATAAAGGAAGCAATACATTAGTATTTAAGTAGCATATAGTAATTTCGGACGGAGGGAAAAGTTTACAGAATGACTTACGTGAAGGAAAACCATCATTCCGAGATTGCAGTGCTGTAAAAAATTGAACTTTGTAACGTGACTTTACCGTAAATACCGTCGGTTTTACGCGGACAGAGGTTGAAGGATTGCAGGATATGAGACAGGCATTGTTAAATATTATTTTACGTATGAAACCTGAACATATTGTGCACATATTTATGACTGGTTAACGCGACATAAGAAATGTATGGAATTAAACGGTGACTTTATTGAGTTAAGTTACATGTACTCGTATTTAGCTTTTGACGTCAGTAACGTCAAGGATTTTCAGTTTAGTGCTCCGGGTATGAGTATGTGTCTTTTAATCTGATAAAATTAAACTAATTGTGCTTTGTTTTTGTTGAAAACTTGCATGTTAATAATAAGGTCAACATGTTCAAAAATTTATTTTTACAATAGCCCCAAAACTGTATGAGGTATAAAGTTAAAATTTTTACAGTTTATCAATTTTTCATTGATTATCAGATGCAAAGTAACATTTGATAAAAAGAAAAATACTTGGAAAAAATATTAATTGAGAAAAATTCTTCTTAAAAATGCACATATTTTTAAAAAGTACACCTAATTTATTCCGTACTCTTAGTGAAAACTATCATTGCAGAAACAAAATTTTTTATCGATGAAGGGCAAGTTGGACTTGGATAGTCTCTGAAAAGTTGTTTTCCCTGTTTATTTTGTCCAAATGTTAAAGACTTGAAAGTGAAAGTACATTGCAAATGGCGGATTCTACATGGGCCTTGTCTTTATACATGTCATGCTTTCAATAACAGCCTTTCAGAGACCATTCACGTCCCTTCAATGATAAGCATATATTATTTCTGCAATGATGGTTTTCACAAAAAGGACAGAATAAAGCAGGTGCATTTTTCTAAAATATGCACATTTTCTGATACAATTTTCTTCAAAAAATTCTTTTTAAAAATACATGTAGTTTTTATCATTTGATACTTTGTATATATTTTATAAACTGTAAAGGTTTTGACTTTCTACCACACATAGTTTTGGAGCTATTGTGAAAATATTTTTTAGAAACGTTGACCTTTGACGAAACCTTAATGTTTGTCAGTAATCATCAATGTTGTCCACGAACTTTACGGACAACCCTCTTATTATAATCAATAAAAATAATTTAATTTTACTTGTAACACGTCATTTGATTGGAAAAAAGACTTTATTCATTTTGTATATCATAACTTGCCTACGTCACAATGAGTTACGTCAAAAAAACGTATTACTCTGCTTGACGTTACTTTCAAAATTTAGTCATTGTGAAGCATTATTCTGAGGGAAAAATTGTCTTATTGTCTGCACTGAAATTAAATTAAAAGGAATGAAGCTTATTTCAACTTATATTATACGATATAACAAAACTTGCGGTTTATAAAGCGTAAACAGCCCAAAGTTATGTTATATCTGGATAACATAAGTTGAAATAAGCTTCATTTCTTAAGGACATACGCAATGTACCTTACCTACTGATAATTTTTCAAGATATTCTAAATTTAAACTTATAATACCATTACATGTTCTTAGACAAAAAATCAGCATGCGTTACCTTTAATTTAAAATCTTTTGAATTAATCAAAGAAAAAAATACCAAAATTACAAAACATAAATTTCAGATTTTTTTTTTCATCAAAACTGTTTTAGAAGAGGTGTACAAATACATAATTTATATAGACTTTGAAAATATTGCACACATGTCCTTCATTTAGTGTAACTCTTCAAATCCAGATAAGAATCCAATAAAGTTCAAACTACGTTGTCTATGACCTCAAATATTCTCCCCCAGCTATGATCTGATAGAAAAGTCGACCTACTTAGACCGCAAGTCAACATAAAACAATATAATACTCTATATATACGTATTTACTGTGTTATTTAATGAGAAAAATAAGATTATATATGTATTTTTCAAGATGTAATATAAATTTTATTTTTAGTTCGTTTTAATACATAAAACATTTTTCTTGCATTATCATTTTAGCAAATGGTCGAATTGTTATAAATATAATCAACGAATTCTTGATAGTAAAATAATAAAGGGAAGTAATAATATGTTGAACCCGCTTTTGATTGGTTAGTATGGATCTTGAATTTCGAAAATCGAATTTTGAATCTCGAATTTTGAAACTCGTATTTCGAATCTTGAATCTCGAGTGAGCCTTCTGGGCTTTCGTACGATCCCTGCTGAAAAATGTAACGCGTTACACGCTTAAAATACCTTTAATGTGCGCTTTAAATTCTAGTTTTTGCATAAAAAGATATTTAAATGTTATTTTTTTTTACTAGAATCGAGTAGTTCTAGATCTATTGGAAATCTATCCTTTAACTCCAAAATCATCCATATTGCGAGTATATTTTAATAGTTCAGATTCTAAAACTGTAAAATGGAACCAACATCGCACGTAACGTACCATGTAACGTTTCTCTCAGTTTTCGGATTTTTGCTGGTGCCTTTAATATACATGTAGAAATAAAAAGATGATCGTGTAAGGGTACTGAACACAAGCAAAAAACGATACATAAATTGATATATATTTTTTGATTGACTGTGATTAAAAATGACACGAATAATAAATCCCTGAAATATAAAGAAATCGTAGGTTTTCCTTCAAGTTGGTACTTAGACATGAGAATTTGTTTTGCTTCCTACATATTATATATTTCCATGCAAGATTTTGCACAATTTTTTAACCTTATGAGAAAATCTTAAGGAATTTTCCCACTATACTTGGTAAACGTTATTCTGGTTACCAATTTAAATGTAAATTTATGCGAAATATTGCTGATTTCTGAAAAAAGTTTGTGTTATTTATCTATAAATTAATTCCTAAAATTATACGTTTATTATTATTTTTTTTATTAAAGATCAGTTCTCCACACTGACTGATGACGAGGTGTCCGTGTTATTCTGTTTTCTGTGTTCTGACTCCGGTCCTCCTGACTTTACTGACACAGAGTGGCTGGACATGCTTAATGAGATACGACATGACGTGAACCGTACAAAGAATCCTGTAACACGTGAGGAAGCACAACAGACTCTGGACAGACTGAAGTCACATGATTACCTCTGGGAAGATCAGGATAAGGTAACGGAGGACACAAAGGATGAGACAATGTATAGGATAAAATCGATAAACGATGTTATACCATTCATTTACAGTAGTTATGACACAGCCAGTGTGTACCTGAGATCAGAGAGATACAACAGAGAACCTAGAGAGAAGTGTGTTACTACTCCTCTTTACCCTGGTTCTCTTTACCATGTTTCCTTACTGATACGCCGTCTACAGATGAACATACTGACTCACGTCACCATGAAGGACAGGATGATATATGATAAAGTGTCTGAGATCTGTGAGTATAACATATGTCTGCAGGATTTGCACCCCTTTCTTTATGCTTAAACACAGTATTAGTTTTAAATAAAATTTAGGACACGCGGATCATTGATAATGCAGCTAAGATTTATCAGTTAAAAAGAACAATGATTTGAATAAGTGTGTTTATACCAGGTTTTTTATTTTTATTTTTTTTTTATACAAAAGCTTACACTACCTTCAAAATAATTGCTAAACTATAAATGATTGAAGAAGCAGCCATATCCTGCTTTTTATTGATTCTTAAAGACCAACGTTCATTCAAAATTGTTGCATTTTATTCTCTGTTTCATTTTATTCTCTGTTTGGAGAGTAATATTCAAAAAAGAATATGCACTTTTCGGTCATTAGATATATTAAATTAATACGACTTTAGAATCCCTAGAATTTTCCAGCATTCTTATAATAATACATCATTAATTCTAAAGTTATTTCAATTAAGTACACTACATGTACGAATATTTCATTCTTCAGTACGTTTTATGTGCCCACATAAACATATTTTAATACACAGTCTGTTGTATTTAAGAATATATTTATAATATTTTGTTTTCATTCTCACGAGAGATGACACACTAAGTTTGATTTTCGGATGTGAAGTCCAAATGTAAGCTGCCATTTATCAATCGGCAATCCTCGGCTGACTCCACTACGCTACATACAAAAAGTGCGAGGCTGATTGGTCAGTTTCACGCGATATTACGATTTTCTAAATATAGAGATGTACACAACGAGCGATCTGCCTTATTATTGATAAAGAAAACAAGCTGCAAAGAAATCATAGAGAGTCCAACACACAATATCGCCTAAATGATGAGGTTTTTTCCAAAATATACACTACATGTTCAAATGTATAGTCTTCTTGGCTATCACATAAATGATGGCCAGAACTCGAAAGAATCTTCTAACTAGGTCATCGCGTGTGTAAAGATCCTCTGCAGCCGAGGCGCGGATCCAAGTATTCACAGAAAATCAACATCAAATTTAATTAAAACATTCACATAAGTAATTGCATTACTGACTAATAGGAAATGTTGGTGAAAACTTTAATTTTTTGGTACATTAGTCAGTTTTTAACGCGGTGTCATTCTTTAAAAAATAAAACAAGTCTGATTAATCAAATGCATTATGAAATTAAAAGCAAAAGTTATAAGCAGATACATTAATGTCTATAAAAAAAAAAAAAACAACAAACATTGGAAGAAAGATCACAAAGAATCATTGTGAGTATTTTCTTGCATGTCTAATCTATTCTTTTTAAGGATTTATCATGATAAAAGAACTTGCAATTTATGTAGTTTTAATTGCATAAATGGCAAAAAAAATCTTCAATTTACCCCTCCTATATTGAAATGAAGACCGAATTATAATTTATACATAATAGTTTATATGTTTAGTATGCAGATAAAGTTAAAACACACACACAAAAAATATACGCACAGCACGTGAATTTGGACGGCCACTAGTGGCACATGTATATTCCGAAAACAGCCGTAAGTTCGGGGTTGGCAAATTCGGACTTTTTTTCTATTATGCTGATATCATACTGACATTATTTAATTTGCGAAAGTGCTAGGATATCTGTCAATGTCATGAAGCGTGTCTCAAACTTTGAAGTTTTGATAATTTCCAGATAAAAGAGATTTTTAAACATTATTTTATTACATATCATGCAGTGTAAAATGCTTTAGCAACATATGAATCATGATATTATTAAGACAAGTTTAGAAAATCATATCTACAAATCTGTGTACCAGACCTTTTAACTTTGTACTGCTGTAATTGTTTAATGCCAGCCCTTCCCTTATCATCAAGTTTTGTTCGAGTATAGTCATGTAATAACAAAATTAATTTGTTTTTCGAAGAAAAATTTAAAAAAAAATATTCCCTTCCCATCCATCACATAGGATTTTGATTACTCCCCTTTTTCTAATCTAAAATTGTTCAGGTAAGCTGTCATTCCTCTTCCCCAGAAGAATAGAAAAATCAGTAATAGCTGAGAAAAAGTTACACTCCACTGTTTATTCTGTGACTTTAATGAAGCCAAATAGATGACATTTCAGGCTTTCTGGAAAGCCAAACTTGTAATACTTTTATACTTATTCTAGTAAATGTTCCTATGAGTATTGTAAGGGGAAGAGAACAAGATAGAAAGGATTTTCAAGAGAAATTAAAACAGGAAGGGGAGAGAATCCAAAGCAGAAAAGCAGCAGTGGACAGTGTAGATCACGTGACGTGGCTCTGGAGATACGGGGGATACAATAGACCTGACATTGTGAGATCCTGTATAGGTCTACATCAACACAATGATATTTACATCATCGACAACCAAGCTTACAGAAAACCAAGTACGTGTATACTGAAAATTATTGAATATTCACGGTTTACATGTTATGATTTCACATACACTTATTAAATAAGTAAAATACTAGAAAATGATTTACTTGTGTACATGTACCGGAAATAGCTTGTTCCAAACAAGAGCAACATATATAGCTGAAGAATTTCGGGTTTAGCTGGAATGCGGAACGGAAAACAGAAAATTTATGTCAAGCAAATAGCTAAGATTCGATATAAACCAGAGGTAAAAAGCAATTTTCTTGATAAAAAAAAGTCATATCTGTTAATAAAAATGTATCGTAAAGTACATGATACATCGTATATTCATGAATCATGCACGCCCCCAGAACTGGCACGTGTACATGAGATGTGTTATAAAATACATACTGATTAGACTCAGATCCAGAGTATCCATCCTGAACGTTTCGTACAAGGAGAGTTCTGATTCATAAAATGATAAGATATTGTCTTGAAATAGGAAGAAGGAAAAAGACTGCTAGAACGCATGTACATACAAACGGAATAATACGTAGTTTTGATATTCAGATTAGGCAAGTAGTGGCGAATCTGGGAAGTTTGGGGTCGGGATAGAGACCTATAATCACATTAAAATAAAATAAAATTGATTGTTTAAATCCTATGGGTTTTTTTTAACATACAAGAGGAGTGGGGGCTTTAGAAAGTTCTCAGACCTTTCGAATGAGCAGAAAAAACAATCTCATATGTTTCAAGTATTTATTCATGGTATTTGCTTTAGTACCTCGTTGTGTGTCTTTATCCCCTCGCCATGGCTCGGGGATAAAAAACACACAAATCGCTGAAAAAAATCATATCCAACTACAAATCATGGAAAATTTTATATATAACCCCATCAGGCCAGAAAAAATGAAACTTATGTGGAAGCATCCTGGGGTAGTTTAGATTCTAAATTGTTAAAAACTTGACCCCCAGGGGTAGGGTGGGGCCACAATAGGAAACCAGTTTTACATAGAAATATATAGAAAAAAAATCTTTGAATATCTTCTTCTCAAGAAACATTGGGACAGAAAAGATGAAACTTATGTTAAAGCATCCTTGGGTAGTGTAAATTCTAAATTGTTCAAATCATGACCCCTGAGGGTAGGGCGGGGCCAAAATAGCGAATCAAAATTTTACATAGAAATATATAGGAACAATCTTAAAAAATCTTCTCAAAAACCATTGGGCCAGATAAGCTGAAACTTATGTTGAGGGTAGTGTAGAATCTGAATTGTTAAAATTTTTTGACCCCCGGGGGTAGGTGGAGGCCATAATAGGGAATCCAAGTTTTATATAGAAATATATAGGAAAGATTTCTTCTCAAGAACCACTGGGCCAGGAAAGCTGAAACTTAGGTGGAAGCATCCTTGTGTAGTGTAGATTCTAAATTATAACAATTAATATGATGGTGAACGCTGGGGGAGGGGGTGCTGGGGGCCACAAATGATATAAGAAGAGGGGAAATCTGGTAAAGTTAACATAAAAGTTCCTCATGTGAGCGATGTAGCCCATGGGCCTCTTGTTTTTCTCTCACCATGGTTCATCTAGAGATCTAACTTTTGTGTTCTCCCACTTCGTTTTCCTTTTTACTATAAAAATGATCATTAACCCCCCCCCCCCCCCCATAATTTTCGTTAATGTAGTAAGTTAGTGTGAAAAACTACTGAAACATGTTGGAATTGGAACACATCCCTCCCTCCCGAATTGAAAACTGGTTTTCTACCTTTTACTTGTCAAATACCTTTCAGCTAATTTGAATCCACCATGCACCCCCAAATCCAAACACTTTAAAATTCGATTTGATGTGAGCAATTTTCATTGATATGAAACCGAACATGATTAAATCTACTTCTATTTTATAACAGGTGATTTAATATGTACATGTATCAGATATATCGTTTGTGATTTATTTTTGTATTTTATCTAAACTAATTGACCCCGTTTTTCGTTCAGAGTTTAGTAACACCGGGAGATATTGCAAAATTTATGAGTGCAGGTTATATTGAGAGATAATAAAATATGTATTTACTTAAACAATTAAATGCTAGTGCGCTTCATGGTTATACATCAGCAGATCAATCGCTATGCATAAATCCATGTTCACTGGATATCTTTGTTTTGTTATGCCCCGCCATGAATATGGCCGGGGCAAATAGTGTTTGTCATGTCCGTTCCGTCCTTCTGTCCTTCCGTCACATTTTGCGTTTAGCTCTGTTCAAAGCTAAGTTTCAAAGAAACTGTCTATGATATTTTCATCAAACTTCATATGCTGATAGATATTGATGAGAGCTATTGCACTGCATCAAGTTTTTTTTACCTTGACCTTTCATTTGACCTTGACCTCTTAAATAAGTGTTTAGCACAGTCTTAAACATATTATTCAAGATGGTGTTATCAAACTTCATATGTTGTCAGATGTTGTTGACAAACTAGCACAATTGATGCATCTAGTGATGAACAATACCAGATTTGCTTCGGATGCTGGATCTGACCTACATTTTCCAGATGAATGTTTTTTGGAGCAGGTCTATTCCTAAGGAATTATAAGCCCTATTTGAACCAAACTTGTATGGATGATACATCTAGAGATGGTCACTACCATACTTGCTTCGGATGCTGGATCTGACTTACATTTTCATTCTCAAGTAACTTTAAGCCCTGCCTGAACCAAACCTACATGGATGATGTATCTAGGGATGGACACTACCAGACTTGCTTCAGATGCTGGATCTGAACTACATTTTTATTCCCAAGTAACTATAAGTCCTACCTGAACCAAACTTGCATGGATGATGTATCTAGGGATCGACACCACCAGACTTGATTCGGATGCTGGATCTGATCTATATTTTAACTACCTAAACCAAACTTGCATGTTTTAAAGAAACCATTTATAATTATATTATATTTTCAACTTTATTTGCTGATTCTTACTGATCAGAACTTTTCAACTGAATTAACAGTTTTTGTCCTTTGTATTTCCTTTGATCTTTACCTCATTTAAATGAAATAAGTGTCAAACGTCATATATGTTGATACATACTAATGTAAGCAATTCAACTGCATCACTATTCAAGATATTCTGATCAAATTTTATACAAATTTTCATGTTGCTTTACTAATATATCCTCTGCAGGGCATTCATGTCCTATGAACATATTTCTAGTTTATTAATAATTGCAGTAAGGGTAGTCGTAGTCAGAACTATTATTCAGTCTAAAGTATTTTTTTTAAAAAGAAATAGCAGGTCATAAGCGTTGAAGTACCAATTAATTTGAATTCAAATTAGAATGATTAATAGCTGATATCGATAAATATTTAAACAATATACATGGGTTTAATATCTCAAATACCCTTCATAAAAGCAATATTGTTGAAATACTTATACAGTGCACTTTAGTATGATACACAAGATATATATGGATTTAAGATAATATTAATATCCTTAACATGTTTTTTTTATCTTATATTATGCATGGTTTGAATTAATTATCATAAGTATGAACTTAATAAATATTAGATATATTTCTTTTATATGTTCAGTCTTTTTATCATAAGCTGTCCCTTTTTTATCAATCTGAGATAAATCAAATCTTCCTTATTGAAAGTCTGAATTTTGGAGTGCGTAACAAGGATCTGAATTTAATCAGATTGCTTTTATATATTCCATTTATCAATTAATAAATCTAATTTTAGGTGAGTACCACGCCTATTCACCTGAAATAAGATATCTTCTGTACTGTGTTCTTCTGGTGGACGATTATTCTTTTGATGACAATGATCAGGCCAACAAAGTACTGATGACTAAACTTAGAGAAAAATATTTCACAGATATACATTTAAGAGACGAAATAAACTTGAGGGATATTCGGGAGAAAGTCGTTGATAAACAGGGAAACACCTTTAAATTTAAATCAGAAGATATCAGACATGACGTCATGTACGCCTTTGTTACGGAGTGTCTGGTGAAGGACAGTGATCTAGAGTTTTTCCTGACCACGGCGTCACGTGACTTGATATCAGAATACTGCCGGTCCTGGTGGTATGAGAGGAGTGAGGGGGAGAGATGTCTATATGTACCGGACAAGCCGGATAAGATGTATGACCTCTTCATAGACAAACTACAGCTGGACATCATCACACACTGTACCGTGTCTGACTGGAGGATTCATGAAAGGATCAGTAAACGTTGTGAGTATTATTTATGTATTATACCTAAAAAAAATATTCATTAAGATGTGATAAAAGGTGAATCCTGTTTTATATTTTTAAAGAGAAATATAAATTTCCGAATATAGGTGATGCATATGTCTGGTTTCAATTTATATTTTATGCAGCCAACATATACTTGGGGAATTGAGAAAGTTTAGAAAGGTATAATTTTTGTTCGATAATCACCCGACTCTAATTTTTTTAAAAAATATTCTCGACTATCGTCTCCATCATTTAGACGCATGTCCCTTTTACACATATCGAAGCGGTTTGATGATCAAGACTCATTTCCATTGTTTCCAGGGCGACAAAATTTTCTTGTTCTGATACTGACACAATATACAACGCTGCAATGTTAATGCTTCCTACAGCTCTACCGATAAATGTGATGGTTTTTTCCACTGAATATCGTTATCTGTATTAAAACAAATTAAAGCCAGTACAGTGTATATTTTTTCCAAGCAATATCCAGTTAGATTAGAAACTCCACAAAAGGTCGCCAATAAATCTTATTGTAGATAATATTCAAAATTATTTAAATCATGACCCAGGGGATACGGCGGGGCCACAATAGGGGATTCAAGTTCAACATAGAAATAAATACGAAAATACTTTAAAAATCTTCTTCTCAAGAACCACTGGGCCAGAAAAACTGAAACTTATGTGGAAGAATCCAAGTTTAAGGTAGGACAAAACACCCGTGAAATCTATTTTAACCCATGTCTTAAAAATTCCTGGAGGAAAAAAAAGAATAATATCACTTTATTGACAACAATGAATGATCCCTGAAAAAAATAAGTTTTGGCATATTTGCGTTATATTTTGTGAAAAAATCAGAGAATCCTAAATATTGGTCACTTAGGAGCTTACATTTTGGAATTGGTTTGAGCAGTCTAAGTGCAATAAACAAGTATGTAACAGTCTGTTATAAAATGCAGAACAACTTTTGTTCCATAAATAGTAGAGGGGAGATATTTGGACACATATATAAGGAGTCTCTATTCTGCATGTACTACAATGGTCAAGGTCATATCACGAGGTCAAAGGTCAAATATTGTGATGGCATCTACTTAATCTTTCAGTTTTTTTGCCATTGATTTTTTTAATCGCCAAAATATATCTTAACGCACCAGTTCAGTTTTCTTTATTTTTACAAATTTTATTCAAGGACCCATTTGAATCATTCTGTTGATTTTTTGTAAAAATTGAATTATACATTTTCTCTTAAGAAAACTTAAAATGTCGGATATTTACATGTGAATTTTCAGTTTCTGATACAATGTATGTTCTATTTTACGTAATATTTTACCCAAATTTTCAAGAATCAATGTGACTTACTGATTTAAAGTAACAAAAAGGTTATCTTTATTAAAAGTATTACACAAATTTGCAATAGATCAATTGAAAATTCTAATATAAGGCTCATTGTCAAGTAGAATGTCTGATTTCGCAATCTTCTTACAGGGGTCTGATAGGCCATATTTCAGACTATGTGGTCAAAAAATGTGCGGGTGAAATTTCTTTTATATAATTTATAAAGAGATATTTTGTATCCAAGAAGAAAATATCAAAGTTTCAGAAAAATTGAATTTGAGGAAAAATTTGACCTATCTATTTGGTCCTACCTTAAGAAAGTAATATATAGGGTAAATACTTTCAAAATGTTCCTCTCAAAAACCACTTGGCCAGAAAAACAGAAACTTACATGGTGTATGTGTAAGGATCCTGGGGTAGTGTAGATTCTACTATGTCCAAATCATGACCCATGGGAGTAGGGCGGGCCTTAATAGGAAATCCAAAAGTTTTACAATGAAATATATGGGAAAATCTTTGAAAATTTCTTCTTATGAACCATTTGGCAAGAATGCTGAAACTTATTTGAAAGCATCTTGGGGCAGTGTAGATTCTCAATTGTCCAAATCATGACACCTGTGGGTATGGTGTTGTCACAATTGGTATCACAATGGGAGATATGTTAAAGAAGAGCATGGCCAATGTTTCTCAGGTGAGCGATGTTGCAATGGGCCTTTTGTTAAACATAATGAAACCGATTAAGTAAGGGGAGGGGGTTATATTCAAGACATTTTAAATATTCGATAGAAGCAACAAATCGTCGACTTGAAGGGTATGTTTCTGGGTTTTAATAAAAGAGGTTGTACTATGTGATGTGTCGATATCAAATTTAAATTGCATTTCACGGAAAGCAATACATTTATGATAATCAGTCGCGCCTTATGACACCGAGGAAGACTAACGTAGCAACTACACGTGCCAGGAGTCACAAATACAGCAGCCGTACTCACGCTGTTATTATAAAGCTTTACATTGAAGACATGAGGAAATCATGAATGACTAATATAGTATAAACTCGTATCACTTTTAACACAAATTATGTAGTGTAATCTTGTTAAACACGTAAAAGGAAATATGAATAGATCCAGTAAAGTACATTGAACAGATGAAATGTTAAGCAGTTACTGGATTGTTCTTTATATATATTCAACCAGCAATCAGTTCTACTGCACATAACCATACTGAACATTAATGTTTACGTCTAAATCAAACGTTCTATCATTTCCGATTAGTTAATTGACACAAACTGCTTCATTGATGTTAACAAGTAGTAGCTGGTGTCCGAAAACAAGATTTTGTCGATTTGCACTTTACCTGCAATGCTCCATACATGATACAAGTTTAAATGTCCAAGTAAACTGTCAACTGTAGAAGTCAATGCTTCTTGTAAAAGTCCAAGAAAGTTGTCAAATAATTTGAATCCATTTTCAATTTCAAGTCATGCCTTTGTAGTTCAGAGAAGTGAAGGCATGACGTCCAGTGCTCTGGGTAACGTACTGTGAGCTCAAAAGGAAAAATCAAAGAAAACGTTCTGATCAAAAGATTCAATGTATTGGTGATAAATTTGCAATTAACTTTTATATTTCAATGAACTTAAAATAAAAGATACCATAGAGACTGACCCATCTGTTTCATATTAAGTTGAATATCAAGTCAAACAACCAAACTTTATGACAAATGAGATGACTAACTTTTCAATCCTCAACTTGATTAGTATGCAGCAGTACACCATCATTAGTGGGGCATGGAGTTTTTACATGTATCTCACAGCTAATTCGATGCCCAAGAGATATTCAACAATTTCATGGGTATGAACAATGAACAAGTCAATAATTCAATTTTTACATTATGAACGTATGAACAATTTCTAAACAGAGGTAATTATAAATTATTGACAAAACAAGTTAAAGAAACAAGACTATCTGCAGTCTCGTTTGAAGTTATCATTTCGTAAATGTTATGGTCGATATATATACAATGACCTTGTCAGCAAATACAATTTAATATTGAATCAAATGCTGACTTATTTTTTCGAACTTCTTGCTTATTTTTTACGCACTGAATTGGTGACAGAAATTTTTGTTATTTCCCGATCATGACAGGGAGGCCATGTAAACGGTCGGTAAGGGATGGTCACTCCTCCATGGTAGCATATGTTTTGGAAGTTCTTGTTTGATCTGCTCCCGTTTCGTATATAATCTTAAGGAGTATTGAGCTTGAATTCTGTTCGTTAAGTACATATCTTTCATTCTTTTTGTTATGTTAATTTTGTTATTTATAATAAATTGGTAGATATAATAGATACATGTACGAGTGTCCTTGAGGTTCATGGCAGTCTCTATAATATAAACATTTAAAGGTAAATTGTCATGTATATTTATGATGCAATGGCAAACAATAGTCGGTTATCTCCTGCTTCTGATCGCTAGACGGCAGCAGTGTTCCCGGTCCAGCATCATTTGTTTACATCAAGCAGCGATGGCGTGTTCAAGCACAAAGTATGCAAATATGACCATCAAAGACCTTAAAGATGAATTAAAAAAAAGAAATGCGCGACTTTCTGGTCGTAAAAAAGAATTAGTTGAAAGGTAAATATATATATGAATAGTTATTATGATTCCCCGATCGGTAAATTAACGGCATTTTGTATCGAGTAATAAAGAGGTCAATACACATGTACATAAATATATGTACAAGATGCTTTATGAAGAAATTTTAGTTAGTTTAGGGGAAAGTTATCAATGTTTTTAGAACTTTAAGGAAATATGTTTTTTTTTTCAAGACTAGGCCTACTTATAAACTGATATAAAAACACGTGTATGCATGTAATATATCGGTGTTGACGGTGCAGTGTGTACACACGCATGTTATACAATGGTAAACACGGCCGTTCTGTCAAAAACAAATGAATAGAGAAATACTTAAGTTGATCATTTTACCTTTGTTTTAGACTAATTGCCTATGATAGAAACCAGAATTTTGGACAAACAGAAGATTTAGAGCCCGAATATAAGATGACCTTACCTGACCCATTATCGTACTTTGATGTAAATGCCGACTCTACGTTTTCTGGTACTACACTTGAGAAACTGACAAGTTACCTGGCCAAATTTGATAAGCAATTGGACAATAAAGTAAAGCGGTTATATAATGAACGAACAATTAGGTATTTCAAAATATCCTATGATAATGATTTAACTTACGTTGCCTCTAGTTGCTATGCTGAGTACAGGAAAGGAATTTCATACGAGATTGATTTGTTACTTGACAAAAATGGGTCTATAGTTGAGGCCCAGTGCGAGTGTCCTGCAGGGGAGGGACCCAATGCTCACTGCAAGCATGTCTGCGCAGTGATATATGCCTCTATTATGTTCAAGGAGTTCAGAAACATAAAGGTTGAAGAGACATGTACACAAAAACTGCAGAGTTTTCACAAGTGCAAGAGGTTCCTCGGTAGTCCAATAAAGTCACAAAACATCAGCATGCCAGGTGCAGACGAGTTTACCAATATGGACTTTGATCCAAGGCCAGATCACCTTAGAAATGCTCCCAGCTACAATGACTATTTTAGAAACCTTTGTTTAAATTTTTCAGGCATATCCAATATGCCTATATTTCAACTCTTTGAACCTGCTAATGCGTATGCTGTTGCACATGACCATGATTATTTGAAGCTTACACCTCAAGATAACTTTCTTGAAAGAATTGGCCTACTTAATATTACCCAGGAAAGAATTAATGCTATAGAAGAAAGAACTAGGGGTCAGGCAAATAACTCGACATGGAAAAATGAAAGAACATTGCGGCTACCATCATCAATGTATGGAAGAATTTGCAAAGCTACGGAGCGCACGGATATGATAAAGCTGGCCAATTCTTTAACAGTTGTGTCAGAGATTAAAGCAGCCCCTTTGGAACATGGTAGAAGACACGAGAATACTGCTTTACAGAGATACATGGAAGATACTGGACTCAAAGTCAATCCTTGTGGACTTTTTGTGTCATTTGATTTCCCACACTTATCTTCGTCGCCAGATGGGATTGTTTCAAATAATTTAATTGTTGAAGTGAAGTGTCCCTATACATCTAGAGATAAACCAATTAATGTTAAAACTGTGCCATATCTTAAGAATGATGAAAATGAAACATACTTCTTGGATGATAAACATGACTACTTTTATCAAATTCAGGGCCAAATGCTATGTACTGGAGCAAAAGAATGTACACTCATTGTCAGTCATGCTGACAATTTGAAAATCAATGACATAAAATATGTATCAGTTTCCAGAGATGAAGCTTTTATTTTGGACATGATTGACAAGTTAAACAACTTCTATTATGTGTATTTCAAACCTGCATTACTTGACAAACATTTTTACAGACCATTCAATAAGTAAACTTATTACATATATTAAACTGCTATCTGAATTTGTGATTTTTTAAATTATACAAAACATTGCTTCTCAAGATGTTATGAGCAAAATGTATTATAGTATTTGAAAACTTGACAACATAATGCACTATGCCTTTAAGCATCCCTAGGAATGATGCATGTTCTAAAATTACACAACATGTAACAACAAAAAGTGATATGAGAGGATATTTTTGTCTCTGTGCTATTCAATGGAATAGTAAGAATTTTATAAGTTTTTCCTAGACCAATTATTCTTTCGATGTGTACCCTTTTACTAGAAATCTTCCTATCTCTAAGAAGAATTTTTCCACTCATTCTATTTCTTTTTCTGAAAAAGGTTGGAATATTGACAGTGACATCCATCCGTGCAAAAAGATCCTGAACATTAAAACCCTTATCCACCATTACACTGTCTTTAGGATCACATAGGTTCACTAGCTTACTTCTCTCTACAATCTGCCTATCACTTGTACTACCTCCATAAGCATTTGATATAAAACTAACTAATCCACCTGGTGTTGAGCCAACAAGTATCTTAATAGTGTTTCGATTCTTGTATAATGAGAATGTAGCCTGCTGTGCCCTTGGAGCCTTAGGCTTTTTGATAGGACATTCTGTGCCATCAACAATAATTCTAGTGGTAGGAAATTTTGCTTTAAAATCAGAAGGAGCAAAGTATTTGACTAAACTACGAGATGCCCAAATATTAACTTCTTGCCATTGCTTAGACATGAAAATTATCCATGTGTAGACAATATTTTTAACAGTTGACTCAGACACTGAAAAAAATCTGGACAATTCAAAATTGGTTAAATAACGCCTAAGTTTCATCAAAGTCATGAAAAACTGATTTTCAACAGAAACAGTTTGATTGTCGACTTGAAAAAAAATGTATTTCAAACAATAAGCAGATGGACCTAATGTCCTAAGAACAAATATAAACTTACAATAAGTTTCTAGACCAGTGTAAAAGTGCATCCCTACATTGTCATTCACAAAATTTTCCACATCAAACATTGGTTTATTTTGGGTTTGGGTTGCTTTCCCAAAAGACTCTTGCTTAGACATAATATCACTTTCCCTATCTTCACAAATATTTACTTCAGAAACAACTTCTTCTTGCATTTCTATATTTGCATCATCATCTTTACTAAAGCATTCTTCCAAGTTTTTCCTACAACTGTTTTCAACCTTGGATCTCGCTCTCTCTCGTTCAGCAAATCTTTCTTTTCTGTTAGACGAAGATTTTGACTCTGGGTTTGTCCAGGGGAAAATGCTGGGCACAGCTGATAATCGCAGTCGTCTTATTGATGGTTTTTTCCCTAAAAAATGCAGTATCAAAGCATTAAGAAAACATGATACGATAAAGTGTGTGACAACATATACAATCAATTTTAATCATAGTATATTATGTCTCTGGTATGACTGTCTTTGAAGACAATATTGTTTATTATAATGAATATGCAATGCCTACATTACCGTCATTACGACCTTTAAGTTTTTATATAATTTTTTTTAATTACACAAAAACATATCAGATAATTAAAATGCGTGAAACAACAAACATCAGCTGATTTTACTTCATTTTAATAATATTTTATAGCGCTATTATTAGGCTAGTGCCGTGTTGAGCACATACCAGCTGCATACGTAATATACCCCTGATTACCCTGTAATTAAGTTGTCTTATTTAAATATTCGATAATTTCATTCTTTTAAAGCAGTATAATGCGCTCTTTACCGTATATCGTCTCCTGCACATAGTCGTTAGCAGTAAAGTGTTCCTTACACACGACTGCTGTCTTCGATGGGACCCATGTTTTCATCGTATGCTGATCCAATCGCCTCACAGCATTAATCCATAATTTCCGACGATCTGGATTTGAAGGGAATTCATGTCCTCCCCTAACATGACAACCAGGAACTGAGCAGCAAGTTCCAGGCATTTTAAATGGACAAATTAAACGGATTTTTTTCTCTCACTAACTAGAATTCGCTTTGTTTACACGGACACCGGAAATCGTGAAGGACCGGGTAATACGGCGCCACCTGGACAGGACCGATAACTCGCTATTCTTTGCCATTATTTTTTACTCTTTATATATTACGACAAAACTGGTATTTTTTGAACAGTTTTAGGTGTTCCATCTACTGGTAATTAAAACATAAAATTTTCATTTAAATATTGAAATAAAGATTTTAAAAGTATAAAAATTTTGTGAAATTATTTAATTTTATGTAGGTTTATCTTGATTTAATGGAAACAAATAAAGGAGATGGGTGAACATGACGAGAGATAAGCCCATAGTGCAACAAACATGAATCGAAAAATTAAATCTCAATTTTATCAAAATTTTTCTTAATATTTCATTTAACATTAAAGTATACTTAATGTAAAATCTCTACAACTTGCACAAATCTCATGAAAATTAAAGTTATTTGCCTATGAAATATGATACACGCACGAAAGAGGACAAAACGAGTCATTTTTTCACACTATAACACTGTTTTTCGTTATGAGTGGGTCTTCTCTCCATTTTATTGAAAGGTAGTCCTCAAAGTTTGCATAAAAACATACATATTTTGGTTTCCAAAATTATGGAGCAATGACCCACTATACACTAAAAATATAAGTTCATGACATAACTTTCGTATCTTTTTGAGAAATACTTGAAGTCCATTAAGTCAATGGTCATATCACAAACATGATTTAAATGCCTCAGTTCACCAGGACTTGTGTAGCGTAGTGGTTAGCGTGCTAGTCTCAATGGAGAATGCAACTCAGGATTTTTATTGCCAGGGTTCGAACCCAATGGATACCACATTATTTTTCTTGATAAAAGAATAAATGTTAACGAAAAAATTTCCGCAGAACTTTTTGTTTATCGTGATTTTACACAAAAATCAATGATGAGAACTTTACTCTCAAGACTAAAATAACAATTTGAATGATTTTTATATATCTGAAGCTTGTGGGTTTTTTGCACGCTAAGTTCACCCATCTCCTTTAATATGAAAATATCGTAAGAGATTGAACCGTGTTTAGTTGTTTAGTACCCTAGCTTTATCATTATAAAGAGCAAGGTCATTTTTCAGATTCAATTGATTCTTTTACATGTAATTCAACACGTGTTGCAAACTGTTTGATCCCGGTAGTTTACAAAATGCAAAATAAACGAGTGGTAGGTTGAAAAAACTTCCCCATGAATGAAACCAGGAAAATTTTAAGAGGCGATTATAGAGTTCTGTATATATTTGAAGATTTATTGATCAGTTTATCTTTATTTCTTGTTTTTGAAGGGAATTATGTCTTTTTAGTACATTGAAATAGTCAGTCTTTACTTTCTCAAAACAGTTATATGCAAAAACGGAGGGAAAAAGATCGATAAGATTTATTGTCTCAGAATTTAAACATCTACTCCCGGCTTAGTAGGTCTCGGGCGTGCGGACGGACACGAATTTGGAACATTTATTTTACATTCATAACATTTTAATCTGTTTTGTCTCTCTTTGCTATAATTGATCTATGGATTGTTTTTATATCATAATTTCAAATAAAATCTTTTTTCTAGTAAATATTCCGCTAAAAATATCTCAGAGGAATGAAAACGAATGGAGAGAGTTTCAAAACAACTTGAAATATGAAGGGGAGATTGTGCATTTCAGAGGAAGGTCTCTTAATAATGAAGAACACGGGAGATCAAACATCGTAAGATCCTGTATAGGTCTACATCAACACTGGGATATTTATATCATCGACAACAAAGCTTACAGAAAGCCGAGTAGGTATTGAGCATCAAACATATATGTATAGCCATTCATAATTCTCTGTAATCTGTATTTAAGATTTTTTCTGATTTCCTTTTAAAAGGATCCGAGAATGTATAAAGAGATATCTTTGTATTAAAAATCTATTAAACAACAATTTTTACAAAAATGCCAGTGGCTTATTCTAATGTTAAGGATACTTTCCGTAAGTTCTCTTTCGGATATCATTTTTATTCAATTGAGGTATATGGAATAAATTTGCATTCCAAATACTTTCAAGGAATTTTGCATACTTTTACTTGAAATATTTTTTGCAATGCCACTTAGTCTACGCAGTAATGCTATATAGGCTTCTCGAAGCTTTAAATGCACTGAAAACGTACTTCCAATGAATTGCTGGGTCGATTTTGAGTTTAAATTATTTGTTTATGTACGGCCAATTCATACAGAGAGTTCTATAGGCTTTGTTACAACGCGAAATGTAATAACGACGCGAAATGTAATAAACCTACATTATTACAATTTGCGTTATTACATTTTGCATTGAAATCAACGCAGAATGTAATAACGCAAAATGTAACAACACAGTTTTGAGAATTATTACATTTTGCGTTATTACATTTTGCGTCGACATCAACGCAAAATATAATAACGCAAAATGTAATAACACGATTTTTCGATTATAACATTTTGTTTTGTTACATTTTGCGTCGAGATTAAGCAAAAGGCAGGAACGCAAAATGTAATAACACAGTTTTTCGTCGGCCAGATTGAGTACAATTTTTAATAGTCAAGTGGCCGATGATAAGAAAATAAAACAAAAGAAAAAATAGATCAATTTAATACAATTAATTTTTATTCTAAATCAGTTTAATAAATACATTCGTATAAAATGTGTTGCAAATTAGAAATGTGCATCTGTGGGCAAGGTTGTTTGGGGTACTGGCCTGCGTGCATGTACATGTACTAGGTGTAATTGTATAGCGGGAAAGGGTTTATTGACAATAGTGATACCATGCTGTTCGATGCAAATCTCCAGCATTGCAGACAAGCAAAATCAAAATTCTCTCTCTGTCTCTCTCTCTCTCTCTCTCTCAATCCTATAATAAAATGGATTGTTTCAGCATTTCCACAGTAATACAATAATAAACATACGAAGTAAACACCCCGCCCTATCAATGCCCCTCCCATCCTCACTTGACACACATATACACTTCTATTCATTTGTTAACCAATGTATACATGCCGAACATGCATATCAAGAGCTTTTAATGAACCTATGGTCAATTTTTGGTGATTTAATATGTGTTTTGTTAGAAATTTAAAAAGACTATCAAAAATATGCCAATCAAAGTTAAATTAATTCTTTACAATTGATTACAGTATATTCATATGAAGCAGAATTTATGCAAAATCTTTTGCGTGAAAAGAAAAAAACACTTGCTGTGGCCTTCAACTCGACATTTAGATATATCGACGACGTATTGTCAATTAATAATGACAATTTCCATTCCTATGTCGACACGATATATCCTGGTGAGCTTGAGATAAAAGATACCACAGAGTCCGACACTTCTGCTTCATACTTGGATATTTTACTTGAAAAAGACACAAATGGTAATCTAACAACCAAGCTATATGATAAACGTGATGACTTTAACTTTTCTATCGTCAACTTCCCTTACTTATGCAGCAATATACCTTCATCACCTGCATACGGAGTATTTATATCTCAGTTGATTCGATACGCTAGAGCATGCTCTACGTATGAACAATTTTATTAAACGAGGTAAATTATTGACAAGCAAGTTGATGAAACAAGAATATCAACAGTCTCGTTTAAAGTCATCATTTCGTAAACTCTATGGTCGATACAATGACCTTGTCAGCAAATACAATTTATCATTGAATGAAATGCTGACTGACGTTTTTCATACCAATTGTTAGTCCATTATTTATACACTGAATTGACTACGGATTTTTTTTTCCGTTATTTCCTGATTATGACAACAAGCACACGGCGGGTGTGACCGGTCGGCAGGGGATGCTCACTCCTCCATGGCACCTGATCCCACCTCTGATGTTTCGGAGGTCCGTGTTTGCTCTGCTCTTATTTTGTATATTTGTTTAATGGACGTTGAGATTGAATACTGTTCGTTATTTCCATATCCTTCATTCAATATAACTAAAATCAGAGTCCGAAAAACGATACATTTTGATGTATTTATGTCCGGAAAAAGCCCTAACGATGATCTCATTGTTTTAGTTCAAAATATTTTTTACAGTGCGTTTCCAATGTTGGTTACATGTATATATTTGAATCAACTTTATGATCTTTTTTGTTCAACGCAGTCAAAAATTTTAGTTTTATTTTGTTTACTACATATTGTTTTATTATATTTTTGTGTCTTCAGTGCAAATATAAAATAACGCAAAATGTAACAACGAAAAAGCACGTTATTACATTTTGCGTTGATCTCGACGCAAAATGTAATAATGCAAAATGTAATAATCTAAAATTGTTTTATTACATTTTGCGTTATTACATTTGGCATTGATCTCGACGCAAAATGTAATAACGCAAAATGTAATAATCAAGGTTTATTACATTTTGCGTCGTTATTACATTTCGCGTTGTAACAAGGCTATTTATAATATATTTGTCACAATATCACGTTACCTAGATGATCACTTTTCACACAAATCATTTCGGTGCAATCGATTGACAAAATTATTATTAACTTTTTGTATCGTGCTTGTAAATAACCTCAATGCGTCCTTGTGAACCCGAAATGTGGTTGGAAAAAGTTAAATTACTCTGGTACAAAATATTGCACAATTACTGAACTTGCCCAAAAAGCTAAGGGTATTTCCCACTCAATATCATCATCTAACAAAGTCATCATGCATATCTCCCAAGCAAGATTCAGTAAGCGGGTAAATGCCTCTTACTGATTTTCACTAAATTTCTTAAATAAATCTTCATTTTTCACCAGTTTGAGGATTTTTTTACACGTATTTTGAATTCAGCTTCTATCCAGGGGTATAAAATGGGTAACTGCCTTTCCTATATTACATGTATCCTACATATTTTTAACTTTTACACAAGAGTAATAAATCAAAATTATCTAAATTATTCAGATACATAAGATTTGTTAAAGAAAAGTTTAAAACACACTTATTTTACTTTAATTTTCTGACACTTTATATGCAGTTTGAATTAATCTGTAAAGTTTATGATACTCTTCCCATTAAGGGAGGATTATACATAATATGATGCTGATCATGTACATTTTCTTAGTGTGAGAATCCCATGTAGTGATATTTTTCAAAATCGCACAGCTGGTTACAGACCACAAATTGCTTTCCGATAAGCGAAAATGTCAGTCTCATTCGGTAAATTCCATTATTTTTGTTCAGCATAATCAAATCAAATCTCATCAAGTTGTACTTGTCGAATTCTAAAGGTTGCATGTCAGACTCCTACAATAACTGTTCGTTATCTCACCATTCTCAATTACAATTTGAACGATTTGTAAGAAAATATCATTTTTATATGCAAATTTTTCTGAATATTGTATGATTTTTTTTTGTTGTTTAACGTCCCACTTGAGAATTTTTCACTTGCCATTGGGGGGCTGCAAATTGTGACCGATGATTTGCACTCAAGTCCACTGAGCAGTAAGGGATCTTTTTCGTGCTCGCAACAGCTGCGAGATGGAATCTCAATTTACACGGGTTTATCCGGAGGATAGGTCTCCATATCCCACAGTGAGATTCTATTTCGCTACGTAAGGATTAACTATTTCTTATTATCATATACTTAGTAGTAAATATACCGATTCTGCACGGTGTGATACGGGTGACGTCACAATACCCCATATCACGGACCGGTCCGAAAAGCCATATCACGTATCGGACCGGCGGGCCAAAAATCCATATCAAACCGGAAGTAACGTTTGTATTAAGTTTAAAAGTTAATTTACTTGATTTTATTTAAATATTCATATAAAATAATTCTTTAATGACATTTGTGGTCTTATTTTTTTTTCAAATACCTAAAATTTGGCTCTATTAGATTTTAAAGAAAACTCGCTAACAAGCACAAACATTCCTCAACCGCCATATGTGAACTCGCATATGAAGTATTGTAAATATATGATAAATAGAATACTACATACTAAAATCCATATCATATGTCATATCAGCCCGAGTGGCCCCATATCAGCCCGAGGGCCGAAATTGAAATTCATTCCAACGCCTAAAAGCAACAATGCTAAAAACATACTTCTCAATGACTTTGAGGAATTTGCTAGAAAACTCAGATGCAAATTCCACTTTGATACCGGAGACAACACTACAATTCATCCCTTTAAAACGAAATCTGGCTACAAACCGCCATTTACATGCAGCGAACTCGAGGAATATATAGATAAAACAAAACTGGAACTATCCTCAATGGAAATTGTAAAAAAGAAATCGAACATCTCAGAGTCTGAAAAAGCAGCTATTTTATCTCTTAAAAATAACAGCGACATTGTTATCAAAAAAGCAGATAAAAGCAACACTATTGTCATCATGAACAAGGATCAGTATGTCTTAGAAGCACAACGCCAATTGCAATCTAAACACTATATGCAAGTATCTGAACCCAACATGCTTACATTGCATGACAGTATTCAAAATAAACTTGCCGAAATGCATACTAATGGGTCACTGGACAAAGACACTTATAAGTTCTTTAATGACAAAAAACCTTCACTCAAATGTGGGCACTTATACCTTTTACCTAAAACCCATAAAATACCAGCAAACATTTACAATGCTCTAATAAACGGTCAGTGCAGCATTAGGAAATTACCACCTGGTAGACCAATTATCTCGCAATGCGATACGCCAACAAGGAAAATAGGACAATATTGCGATTATTTTCTGGTACCTATTGTACAAAAACAATCAACTTATATTAAGGACACTACGGACTTCATCACCAAAATCGAAAGCCTTACACTGCCAACAAACGCATTATTAATTACTTATGATGTGACGAGCATGTACACAAACATGGAATTCAACGAGCTTCTCTCATCAGTAAATGAGGCTTACACACAGGCCAATAAAACGCAATTAGACATTCCATATCCGGACCCTGAGGATCTAAACTTCTTATTGAAATGCGTCTTGGAAAACAATTACTTTGAATTCGACGGAAAATATTACAAACAAATAATAGGAGCAAGTATGGGGGCAGTCCCCAGTCCAGAGATCTGTGACATCAGAATGTATCAAATTACAAAGCACATAATGGCACAATTTCGTCATGCCAGCAAAATTGTCTTCCACGGCAGATACCGTGATGACGGTTTCATAATATTCAATGGAACGCAACCAGAGATAGAAGAATTCTTTAATATTGGCAATCAGTGTCACAAACATCTAAGATTTACATTTGAAATTTCTCCATCTGATGTCAACTTCCTTGATACTACAGTTTATAAAGGACAGAAATTTCAAAATTTTAACAAACTTGATATCAAGTCCTTTATCAAACCAACAAATAACTTTCAATATCTACACAGACAGAGCGCTCATAGCCCGGCTGTGTTTAAAGGATTCATTAAAGGAGAATGCATTAGACATGCAAGAAACACCACTGACCCTGAAATTTTACATGCAACACTTAATGACTTCAAGACGCACTTATCAAAGCGAGGCTACTCTTCTTCGGAAATTGATCCTATCATCAAGGAAACAATCAACACAAACCGATCAAAACTCATCATCAAAAAGACTAAAGAACAGTCATTACGTAACCCTACAGTACTGGTTACTAAATTTAACCCTTGCGTTAAAGGACTGAAAAAACGAATTCTGAAATATTGGAACACCATTCTTAGAAATCCAGAATGCAAAACTTTATTTAACTCTCAACCAATCATTGCTTACAGCAAACACAAGAATATAGGTGAAGAGATAATCCGGTCTCACCTAAAACAAACACCATGATTTATGTCCGTGACCCCTGATGAGGCTTCTTAATAGCCGAAACACTCTACAACTACTTGCATAATTCAAATCATATATTAATCTGCTCTATGCAAAAAATCATATCTACTAGAAGTGTGGTTTGGAGTGTCGGGTCCTAATAAATCTCTTACAAGTTTGGTTGATTGATGTCGCTAATTTTCACACGAGCTTCTCTCATCAGTAAATGAGGCTTACACACAGGCCAATAAAACGCAATTAGACATTCCATATCCGGACCCTGAGGATCTAAACTTCTTATTGAAATGCGTCTTGGAAAACAATTACTTTGAATTCGACGGAAAATATTACAAACAAATAATAGGAGCAAGTATGGGGGCAGTCCCCAGTCCAGAGATCTGTGACATCAGAATGTATCAAATTACAAAGCACATAATGGCACAATTTCGTCATGCCAGCAAAATTGTCTTCCACGGCAGATACCGTGATGACGGTTTCATAATATTCAATGGAACGCAACCAGAGATAGAAGAATTCTTTAATATTGGCAATCAGTGTCACAAACATCTAAGATTTACATTTGAAATTTCTCCATCTGATGTCAACTTCCTTGATACTACAGTTTATAAAGGACAGAAATTTCAAAATTTTAACAAACTTGATATCAAGTCCTTTATCAAACCAACAAATAACTTTCAATATCTACACAGACAGAGCGCTCATAGCCCGGCTGTGTTTAAAGGATTCATTAAAGGAGAATGCATTAGACATGCAAGAAACACCACTGACCCTGAAATTTTACATGCAACACTTAATGACTTCAAGACGCACTTATCAAAGCGAGGCTACTCTTCTTCGGAAATTGATCCTATCATCAAGGAAACAATCAACACAAACCGATCAAAACTCATCATCAAAAAGACTAAAGAACAGTCATTACGTAACCCTACAGTACTGGTTACTAAATTTAACCCTTGCGTTAAAGGACTGAAAAAACGAATTCTGAAATATTGGAACACCATTCTTAGAAATCCAGAATGCAAAACTTTATTTAACTCTCAACCAATCATTGCTTACAGCAAACACAAGAATATAGGTGAAGAGATAATCCGGTCTCACCTAAAACAAACACCATGATTTATGTCCGTGACCCCCGATGAGGCTTCTTAATAGCCGAAACACTCTACAACTACTTGCATAATTCAAATCATATATTAATCTGCTCTATGCAAAAAATCATATCTACTAGAAGTGTGGTTTGGAGTGTCGGGTCCTAATAAATCTCTTACAAGTTTGGTTGATTGATGTCGCTAATTTTCACACTTTAGCATGTAATATTCTCTGTTTATTATGCTTCATGTCAGTTTGTCTCTATATAACTTTTACCCTACTAAATGTATTCTCGTATAGTGTTCTAGGGATTTTTATAGCGTGAGCATTCTATGCCGAAATGGTGCAAGGCTACGTTTTCTGAAGAAAACCCGACTGTGCACACACTTGGGAGCGAACTCACGACGACCCCGAGATTATCAGTCCGACGCACTATCAATTACGCCACAGATATCGATGCTCTTATCGTTCTATTCATAATATATGGGTTCCCAAGTGTAATACATGTATTCTTTATTTAATGGGTCTCATTTGCGAGTACTTGAAGAAGATGGGCGACTAAGGCGGGCAGAATGCCTATAGTGCGACAGATAAGAAGTGAAATTTTTAATCTCAATTGAATCCAAATTTTACTTGATATTTCATCTAATACTAAAGTATACTTTATGTAAAATCTCTACAATTTAAAAAAATCTCACAAAGACTAAAAATATTTGCCTATGAAAAAGCTTACACACACTAAAAAGAACAAAAACGATCATTTTCTCATACTTAAACAAAATTTTTCAATATGGGTGGGTCTTCTCTCCATTTTTTTGAAAGATGATCCTAAAAGTTGGCAATAAAATACACATTTTTTGGTTTTCAAAAACATGGAGAGAAGACCCACTATACCTTAAAAGTACACCTTTATGACAAAACATTCGCATATTTCCGAAAAATACTTTCAAGTCCATTAAGTGAAGGGTCATATCACTAACATGATTTAAATGCCAAAAAATCATCATGAGCGGTGTAGCATAGTGGTTAACGCGTTAGTCTCAAAGCCGTATGCTATTGATACGTCGGATTTTTATTGTTAGGGTTCGAATCCAACGAATACCATCTAATAATTTTATGAAAGAAAATTTTTTACGAGATTTTTTTCTCTCTCAGAAAAGTTATTTTTTCTCATAATTTCTAAAATTTCAATAATTAGACGTTAATTTAGATAATCAATTCACATATTTGATATGATTTCTTAATATCTGACGCTATAGGCATTCTGCCCGCCTTGTTCGCCCATCTTCTTTGAGTGACTTTATGTTATTTGCAATGTTAAGGTTCGAATTCTTTATCATGAATTGTTTTTGCTGATAATTTTCGATTTAAGATCTTAGAATCTTCAAAAAAAAATTAGAAATAAAATTTTTATTTTTCAAGTAGTTTCGAAGAGTTCTCATGTGATAAAAATTCTTATGTTTTAAAAAGAAAAAAAAGGAACAAACTAAAGCTAAGGTTTGTTGTCCTGAATATTTTATATTCAGGGGATGTGTTACGTTTCATAAGATATCATAAATGTCCTTCAAGTATTGGATCTATTAATTTATACATGGAATGAGATTTTACAAAAGTAGAAATTTAACAAGAAATAATATAAAACTAGAGGTACTGTGAGCAAGGAGCTCACTAAATAATACCCTCTGTCTCCAATATAAATATAATGGCAGTGTCCATGTTTTTTATGGTAAAAACAAAATATGTTTCAGATTAAAAATTAAAATTAGAGGTGCACAATGCTAAAATGTAATGAAGATCTTATTCAGTGGTATAAAAGGAGTTCCGGGTAAGAGATGGATACACGCAAGGGTAACAGACAGATTGATTGATTGTATATTGTCCATCTCGAGAATTTTTCACGCATATGGAGACGTCACCGTATGCCGGTGAAGGGCTTCAAATTTTGACCTTTACTTGGCACTTTGGGCCATTGAGCAGTGAGGGATCTTTATCGTGCCAACGCCTGCCGCTGAAACATGGCCTCAGTTTTTAAGGTCTCATCCGAAGGACCCGCAACTTTCACTTCAAAGTGCCGAGCGCATTGCGAAGGAACAGTTGCTACCCATTTTAACGACTAGGCGGTCGCGGCCGAGATGCGAACTCACGACCTCCCGATCACGGAGCGAGCGCTCTACCGACTGAGCTACCGTGAACGGTTGTAACAGACGGACGGACATACCGATTACTATATACCCTCCCGCTTTTCAAGCGGGGGTAAAAGATCGCATTCGAGAACAAAAATCACAGACTTTACGATTTTTTACCCTTTAATTCTAGCAGACATACAGTAAACTATCTGTAACAGTCTCTGTTTTATCAAACAATTAAAATATTGTATCGGTTAGGTCGGATCTCCTTTTTGGAGAGGTGTGCTTTTATCACTTTATCATAAAGATTTTTAACTGATTTTCGAGAATACTGTCATAAAAAGACAACTGCAAACTTCAATTACAGGTAAATACCACAAGTACTCATCTGACTCAAGATGTCTCCTCTACTGCCTTTTATTCTTGGATAAGTATGCACTCAACATCAATGAACAAAGTCATAAAAATTTGTGCAAAACAGTCAGAGGAAGGTATTTCAAAGATCTGGCATTATGCAACGAAATTAAGGTGCCAGCTGAGCTGAAGGGAGTGGTCAACAAACAGAAAAGTTGTTATAAGTTTAAATCGGTGGAAATCAGGCAAGACGTTATGTACGCTTTTGTGACGGAATGTTTAGTTGAGGAAAGCGATCTGGAGTTTTTCCTGAAGATGGCATCCAAACATGTGGTATCAGAGTACTGCAGGTCCTGGAATTATGAAAGGAGTGCAAATGAGAAATGTTTGTATATACCCGACAAACCAAAGGAGATGTACGATCTCTTCATAGACAATTTACAGGTGGATATCTTAGTACATTGTTTCATGTCAGAGAAAGAGCATCATAGTAATATAAGGAAACGCCGTAAGTACATATTAAATATAATATCCCCCACGCTCTCTTTTTTTGAACTGATTTTACTTAAAAGGGCTTGGTGGTCGTGGCAATTTTCACCCTATTTTGATTTCCTTTAGAAAAAGCTTGCCATATGAAATAAAATGATCAAATTTTAATCTAAAATTTATAATTATTTCCTTTGCCAAATGAGAGTTGAAAGTTTAAGATATCATATCTTAAAATTTAAGATATATTGGATGCTTAATTTGTTGAATCCAAGTCAACTTAATGCAAATATTATAATAAAAAAAGAATTGCAATTAAAACAAACATTCTAAGATTGCATCAACCGATTTTAAAAACACTGGCAATTATAAGAAATATTTATTTAATATTTAATGAATATAAAACAAATTAAAGAAAAACAGAAAAATTAGCAGTTGTAATAAAGTTATTGATTGGAGAAATAACGATAGGTTTGTTCAGATTTGTTAATACCTATTTAACATCAAATTTATTATTAATAAAAAAACCAATTATTATTATTTGTTCAAGTTTACATATATCTTTCGATTAATGCTCAGACTCGATATAAAGTTCAGAAAGATATGAAAAATACTGATATTTTTAAACAGCAAGTGCGAAGTGATCCGTAATAAAATTCTTTATAAAATGCCTTGGGTCACCAGATGAAAGTTTTGGGAAAAGTAATTGGATTTTTGCGAGAATTGATTTTTTTCAGACGAATTTTTATTTGAATTTTATCTTTCTGTATTTCTCTTCTCGCTCTTGATGGCCAGAGGTAGTTATGCTCACGATCCTTATTAAGTTTTTTCCTTACATCAGCTACTATCAATACATGCATGGTTGTTGCAATATATAGCTACCGTAATTGTTATTAAATTTCAATTTATTTTGTTAACTTTATTGTATATTGGGAAACTCTTATTTTATGTCTTTTTATAGATACGTGTTACTGACTACTCTTGGAAGATTCTGAAATCTACAACATATCAGAATGTTTTCTTCAAAAAGTGTTTTCATGCTTTTGATTTTATTTTTTATTGCACTAGTATATGTTTAATCATGTAGATATGTCTTGATGTCCTTTTAGTGAATATACCTGAGGAAATTTTCTCGTGGGATCTCAGTGCTAGAAAACGATTTGTTGAAATCTCCCAGGAAGGAAGAGTAGAAATGTTCCGCGCTAGAGGAATGATCGTTGGATGCGCTGGCGCTGGAAAAACAACTCTCCTTGAAAACCTAAAGAGGGTAAAAAGGAATAATGAATTCGAAAAAACTGAGACAACTGTTGGCCTGGAGGTCCATGAGGATTTGTTCGAAATCATAGACGACAAGCTAATGGGTGATAGTTCCTTTTCTTTACGAAATGTTCTATTAAAATATAGCGAAAAAATGTCTACCATAAAAATGTCTTTTATCCATTTTGCGGTTTGAATACGATGATTCAAATTTCAACTGAAAGCTAACGGTCTAATATTTTTACCCTGATTTACTCAAGAAAATCTAAATTCCAAAAGCCAAATTCTTTAAACATGTGACCCTTATTCTTCACATAACTTAGATTTAAAAAATATACAACTTCTATAGGGATGTCAAATCGGTCAATATGTGATTATCGGTTATACTCGCACGTTTTTCCGATTACGTACCCGGGTAGTCGGTAAACTTGTAAATACAAGTCTGTTAATTTTCTTTAACTCTGTGAAACACCAATATTTTTCTTACCTTTTGAGTGCATGTTTAAAAATAACGAGTCCAACAGATAATTTCTTGCACTTAATTTATTCATTTTATAAAAAAAATATGTACACACTTACAGAGGACATCAATTTGATGCTCCGATAATTACAATTGATTGATAGTTTTTGTTTGGATAGAGCTTTAATCAATCTGTCATGCCTCATGCCCCTTCGTGATGACTACACTAACGAAACAGAAAGAACAGACGTTGTTGGGATCGCTTGTCGTATATTATTATTGTTACTTCGTATACGCTACATTTACTCCTCATAGCTGACTTTAAACTTTTTTTTAAATCTTTAATTACATATTTTACCAAAATACGTCTTTACATTTTTAAGGTTGATGCAGCATATTTATGCATGTCGGATTTCGTTATTATTTACTTAATTATTTTAAAATGATGTAAGATAATAGAACACCAATGAAAAACAAATCATTGAAGCCATCTAATGATTAAGGACCGTGATAGGTAAGAAAAGCTGTGTACCACGTGATTGGTCACTAATTACTATATATACACAACCATAAGCGATAACAGGTGTTTTACAGATCTGCGCGACGGTACTCAATTATCGTGTGACTGTACAATTGAGTTCTTTTTTATGTTTTTGATAAATATATGTACTTTAGAATAATAGATATAAATACCTCCGAGTAACCAATTTTGGTATTTGATACTCGGACGTTCGCTCGGGTACCCTGTAAAGCGGATACTCGTTGACATCCCTAATTTTCTGTAAAATTTTATTTTGATAAATATGCAATTGTTCTACCAAGAATGCATGAATTCAATTTAATGTCTTCTTCATTTAATCAGAAATCATTTCTGTAGTGCATGTATTTGTAAACAGATTTCAGTACCAATGAAGATGGGCTGCCTATCAGAGGAATTCAATATGAGAGCAGTCATGGGAAAAAGTTGATTAGCATGACTGACTTTGCAGGACAAGTAGCTTATTATGCCTGCCACCAAGTTTACTTGTCAAAAAGAGCGTTTTATCTCATTGTTATCGATATGTCCAAAGAACTTAAAGAAAAAGTATGCAAGCACAATGTTGACCGTCATAATCCAAAAGGATCTTTATTCCATGCATGGAAATACAAAGGTAATAGGTGACATGAAAATAAATTAAAAACTTATTTTATATCAAACCCTTTCAGATTATTCAAAATTGTTCAAAAATTTTTTTTTACAGAGAATTGATTTTGTTTTTCTCATTTAAAAAGCTGAAACCATAAAATAGTTCATTCATTGATAAAAATCTGGAATTTGCTTTACCACGGAAAATTAAATAACTTTTTTGTATATTCTTTGGATTGCATAGGTAAGCCTCTTCATGCAAACTAATCTTATACATGTATTTGAAAGGACCTTTTTGTAATGATTTCAAGATAAAAAATGAATTAAAATCTTTTTAAAAAACACAAACCGAAATAAAAGTTGTTTGGACTCGGAATGAAATTTAAGTTTCATTTAAAATTAATTAACCATAATAAAAAGCTATCCTGAACTTATGTTTCGTTAGTGGTTAGTTTAGATAAAAATATTTGAAATGTTATTAAAAAATATTAACGAAATCATTTTTATATTAATGCAATAATATAAGTATTTTGTTAGAAGAAAGATATGAAAATAACGAACAGTATTCAATCTCAACGTCCATTAAACAAATATACAAAATAAGAGCAGAGCAAACACGGACCTCTGAAACATCAGAGTTGGGATCAGGTGCCATGGAGGAGTGAGCATCCCCTGCCGACCGGTCACACCCGCCGTGTGCTCGTTGTCATAATCAGGAAATAACGGAAAAAATCCTTGGTCAATTCAGTGTATAAATAATGGACTAACAATTGGTATGAAAACGTCAGTCAGCATTTCATTCAATGATAAATTGTATTTGCTGACAAGGTCATTGTATCGACCATAGAATTTACGAAATGATGACTTTAAACGAGACTGTTGATATTCTTGTTTCATCAACTTGCTTGTCAATAATTTGCCTCGTTTAAGAAATTGTTCATACGTAGAGCATGCTCTTGCGTATCGAATCAACTGCGATATAAATACTCCGTATGCAGATGATGAAGGTATATTGCTGCATAAGTAAGGGAAGTTGACGATAGAAATGTTAAAGTCATCACGTTTATCATATAGCTTGGTTGTTAGATTACCATTAGAGTCTTTTTCAAGTAAAATATCCAAGTATGAAGCAGAAGTGTCGGACTCTGTGGTATCTTTTATCTCAAGCTCACCAGGATATATCGTGTCAACGTAGGAATGGAAATTGTCATTATTAATTGACAATACGTCGTCGATATATCTAAATGTCGAGTTGAAGGCCACAGCAAGTGTTTTCTTCTTTTCACGCAAAAGATTTTACATAAATTCTGCTTCATATGAATATAAAAATAAGTCTGCTAATAACGGAGCGCAATTTGTACCCATGGGAATTCCAATAGATTGTTGGAAGATCAAATACCCATAAAATCATTTACATATGTAATTTTCTCTATAATCCTCTAACACTAAAATGCATTTTATTTCTTCAATGAACAAAAAGTCAGTAAAATGTTGTTGTCACTTTTCTGACGTTTAACTATTTGTTTGAAATGCTAAAATTTATTATTACGAATGACATTATTTTGGTAGACACAAATATAAATATTTTTCTTTTTATTTCTTGGATATTTGGCAGCCAAACCATTTTAAATTTATACTTACTGAGTAGCAGTTTAATGACTTTTTTTTTAGAATATCTATATTCTATAGGGTTAACAATACCCTATTCATACATTTTTTAGACGAACAAAATAATTACTTGATTATAAATTACATAAAAGAAAAAAACACCAAGAAGGCGAAAGCGCAATGGAAATTAGTTCCATCTTGTGCTAAATCTTTATTATTTTCTGGTTAACAACCGGTGTCCTATGTATGAGAGCGATATGAACTGCCCTGAATTGATCAACCGTCAAAGGTCATCGGAGAGAAATAACCTAGGAGAAATTCGCTCGAAAGAATGAATTAATTAAAAAATATATATACTTACAATTTTCTTCAAATTCGTCAAAAGTAGCAGGCAAAGTTATTACGATGATCATCGAGCTATCGGTATATCAAAACTATAAGATTAAGATGACCTTGCTTCTACGAGGGTCATTCAAAAGTTGGTAGACTTTATTATTTAACGTCATATTATATCCAAATTTGGTACACATATTTTAACATTTAATTCGATTAATTTGATTTAAAACATAGGAATATATTTTCGTAATTTTACAAATTATCAATGATTAAGAACAGCAAAAATGGGGCCACGGAGCAACGTCAAAATTGAGTAATTTGCTTTTTTTCACTTTATAGTTTCTATAGTCAGAACTCGAATAAATAGAGTCGAAACAAATAAAAGTTACATGTATAAATTCAGTCTTGCTGTATTAATAAAGATACTATCAGGTAGTGTAATATATCGTTCCGTTTAAAAGGTATCAATCTCGAAATACATATGAACGTTATTTAAAAAGGCAAAAAACTATGACGTTGGAGAACATCACGGAGCAGTGAGTAGCGATAAAATTTAGTTTTCCATAGAGGAAACTTCTTTAACAAGCTATAAAAAAATCTGTATGAACCACGAAATGTATGAAAAATAAGCCGTTTATTTGTATAAAATGGATAATATAATTTTCGAGTGGTAGTGAGTTTAAATCAGACGCTAGATGGTCTGCAAAGAAACAGGTTATATTTGAAAATCTTGTCAAAAGAGTTGGGAACGTCATTAAACTTGATGTGCGCTCCATTTCTGCGGAAGAAATAGAGTTCCGCAGTAGGCCTGAGCAATTTGAAAACAATGATAATCTAGTTCAAGCTATTTTGCACAATTGTTAGCAAACCAGGTGATTAATGTTATGGATACGTTTTTATGAATGTACGTAGAAGACGCTACAAATTGTTTTATGAAATTTAAAAGCAGATTAATTTTGAGAAACTTTCTCGACGTTTTTTTGACGTTACAATGCTTAACCGTGCTCTGTGGTAGCAAAAAATGTCGCTTTAAAAATTGGCTAGCAAGAGTTCAATTTAATCAAATGGAATGAAACTTCACACGTCGACAAATTAAAATGTTTTTATTTATGTTAATGTGTTTATCTATAATCTTGTAATAATAATATGACGGTGAGGATCATTGTCTACGTATTTTTGAATGACCCTCGTAAAGGGATGCTGTATTAATGTTATCTAAAATCATTTTCAAAAAAAAAAAGAAATTAAGCAAGCAAAAATGTTTGATGAAAATTTATCAGCCTCGATTTTATTGCTTCATTTCTAAATTTCTTCTCTGATTCATGCTTAATTGATTGCTAATCGGCAACAATGAAATAATGTTTCTTTGAAAATACATTTCATCTGATAATTTCCAATTAAAAATGATGATTGAAAAAAAAAACTATATCACAAATTAAAATGGCACATTGAGCTTTGTTGATTTTATTTTCAAAAAGCAAATAAGACTGCCAAAATTATTTATACTTCCTGTTGCACAAATGGCACACGTACCTATTTTTTTGTATTAAAAAGGTGTTTGTCATTAAATTTGTCGATAAATTTGATTTTTTTTTCAATTAGGTAATTGTTCAAAATATTCAATTAATATGTTTGTTTTATCTTTGATAGATTATTTTCACTTTTGGCTCCAGTCTATCAAGACTTACTGCGATGAAGGCAACACGCAACCAACAGATCTTGGTATAGCAAGCCAAGGTGTTTTCCATCCTGTAATTCTTGTTGCATCCCATAAAGACAAGCAGGTGAATATTATTTGTTATAACAATTAAGTAAACATTTTAAAACAACTTACATTCAGCAACAGTGTTCTCTTTTTAAAAGAATCTGTAAAACTGGGAAAGGGTTAGAAAATGATAGTATTTGGTACCTTCATGACTTGAAACATTTCAAACATTGTAAATTAATTGTTTAAATGCTGGAAAATATGCCAACAGAACAATCTCTATACAAAAAGCTGTTTTCACTAAATAATCATGTACAATGTGATGTCAGAATATTAGTTGAAATCCTATTTAACATTTGGGCACGGCTTCTTTTCTTCTTTTCAATGAAGAAAAGCATCTTTTGTTTTTGCTTTTCAACCATAAATATTTGTATACAAGCCCATCGTCTTCAGATTTTCCTTGACTTTGTTAGACGTACTTGTCACGACGTCCTTCAATGTGTAGAATTCTTTTGGAAAAATCAATAATTTACTTACACGCTCCTTTTCGTTTTAAAAACTCCTTTCTTTTTCGAATTCCAAATACAACAAAGTATTATACATTACCTTTCGGTGTTTTGATAACTTAAATTATACTTTTCGTAGAAAAAAAAATAAAACACTTGTTTGTTCTTGTTTCCATGTGCTTAATTTGATCAAAAAGTTTGATTCAATATATGATCTACGAAACATTACAAAACATATAGAGACTGTTACTATTTTAGAAAAAAGTGCAATGGTAAAGAAATAAATTTTGAAATTTACAACGTCATGAATTTAGAAAAAAAGTTTTGTAATGCCTTACAGTAACTATCGTAAGAAAAAAAGAACCTGTCCAAAAATTTAAATCAAATATCTTAATTTCAATTTTTGTATCGTAGTTTTAAAGGATTTTTTTTAAAATATTCATTGAATTTAATATTATGATTATTATATGACTGCATACCCATATGATACATGTACATGTTTTTCTATTAAAGAAAAGGAGGAGGAAAAGGGGGTCATTCTTTGACCAATTGAATAAAAGCTTGTCTAAAAGTCAAACTTTGAAAGAACTAATTTCTCCCAGAAGATATTTTGAGGTCGAATGTCCAGAAAAAACATTGACAAATGATCAAAAAGAAAAAATTGAAGACGTGAGGAATTGTATTGTTGAAACTGTAAAACAACTTCCTCAGTGGGGAGAAAAAATTCCACTGAAATGGGCAAAACTTGAAGAATTTCTTCGGCTGAGGAAGAATGAAGGGGTCAAATGTATTAAAAGACTGGAACTTAAAGCCAATGACAAAATTGATTTATCGAACGACGATGATCTTAATGATGCACTCCGATTCTTTCATGAAATAGGACAACTTATCTATTTTTCGGAGAAAGAAATGAAGAATGTAATTATCATCAACGTTCAGTGGTTCGTCGATGGATTCAAATACATCATAACAGACGAGACTCATTTCGCTAAAATAGACTGGTATAGTACACTTGATAAGGCGGGAAAAATAACCGGAAAAGAAATAGAAGAAGTGTGGAGAAAAGTCGATTCAGAGAAATTCTATATTAATCATAAACAAGATATTTTGCCATATCTGGATAAACTTGGCTTGATGACAAAGATTCAAGGTAAAGACAAAGACGCTAATGATGAGCTGTTTTATATTCCAAGCATGAACAGAATAGATCTTGCAAAAGAATATGAAGAAACAATTAATCGAGGACGAAAAACGTCCATTATACTTTTCCATTTTAAAACGTATTTGCCTCATTTTTTCTTTTTTCGATTAGTCGTGAAATGCCTAAATAAATGGAAAGCACTCGATATGGAGATGTTTTGTAAAAATGCAGCATTTTATAAGGTGGACGATGCAAGCCATTACATTGTCATTGCCGTTAACAAAACATCCATCCAACTGCAGGTGTTTACTCCTGAGAAAGAAATGGCGTTGCAAACCGAGAGTGTTATAGAAATAAAAGAAACAGTAAAGAGTATGATTCATGAGATAACGCAAACTTTCCACAGGCAAACTAAGTATGAAATAGGATATACCTGTAAAGATATAAAAATTACAGAGGAAGACGAGGAGTGCTTTTTGACAGAAGACGAGGTTATAGCGCTAAAAACAGAAACAGGAAGAAGACCTTGTCCGAAACATGTCAGAAGAAAACAGAGACACACCATCGATAAAAATAAAATACTGCGGTTTTGGCGGAAGGAAGACACTGCTTCTTTTCCAAAAGACAATTACCAAACTATTAATGAATCTGAATTAGAAGCAGACCCCTGAATAAAACAATGAACAGAAATGCGATGCTTTGTAATTAATCATTTATATTGTTTGTGTATTTTATTCGTTCCTACTATATTTATTGGGCAAGTAATATTAAAATATTTGTTGTACAGTAAAAAAGTTGTTTTCCGATAACTATTTTTTTTTATAGATATTAATAATATTTTATGCTCGTACTTACTTAACTCTTCTATAACTGTTCATGAATGAAAATACGTCGTGGCTATAATGTTTCTTTACTATCAAAAATCTATCTTATTTATAAAAAAATATATATATTCACAAAGTAATCTTTTAATTACAATAAAATTATTAAGCGGATGAAATTCGTGAAAAAGGTAATGAGTAAAGATGGAACCTTTTTATCCTGGTGTTATGTAAATGATTTTTAAGTTTGGGAAAAATTATACATTCACCTTCTAAAAAAGTACACACTGTGGAAGCAATAAGCAATTTTTATATCTTAGCCAAACAATCGAAAATATTAATAATAATTCACACAAAACAGTCATCATATATGGTTCATTAACAGGTTTCTACTCTATGTTGTGCATTCAATGTGAGTATTTAAACTTTAATTCATTTACATTCAACAAAATCTAGGATATATAGGTTAATTTCAGTAATTTACATTTCGGGGTATATACTGAAAGGCAACAGTGGTAAATTAAATATGTTAATTAACATCATTCTTTCTTATGTCTAAGATGTAAGACTATCTTATAAAAGCAGATTTTTAAACATGTTAAAGATTGAGTTCATTAAGTGCCGAATTTAGGACTACCTTATACACATGATTTATCAAAAGTTGCATATGTTTATTTGTTCTTCTGTCTGTAAGAAAATATAACCCTAATAAATGAATTTAAAGATTATATATTTTTTTCTTTTTTTATCATTCCTGCTTTTATATTCCCACAGCAGCTTGATAACAGGGGGTTTTGCTTTTCAGACTGGCTAATATTAATCATACCTTTAGCATAAATAAACAAAACGTAAGGGGAGAAAGATAGCATAATAAAACAAGCAAAAATATCAGACAAATGACTACCGGTGTTCTTGCATTCATTAACCTGAGCATGTTTGTATCATGAAAATATGTATTCTTTTATAATTATTTTAGTAACGGCTGTTTGCGAAAGTATGCTCGGATTACAACCAATTTAAGCTGAAATTGAAAAAAAGAAAACTATTTTTCTTTGAAAAGCTCTGCTACATGGATAATGATCTCCTTCCGAAACAAGTCTTTACTTTTCGAATGTTCAAGTATCTTAACCATAACCAAGCATCAAAATTCGGTTTTGTCGAAGATCTTCTCTCTATTATCCAGAAATATTCCTTTGAAAGATTCCTTCATACATATATAGGCAATACAAGTTTTTCCTCCAAAATATTTAGAGGAATATCGTAAATTAGGCTATTAATTCTTTCTACAATTCTTATGGAAAAAGTTAATTTACTACGATCCAGATTTCAAGGGCTTTAAGTTTCTTCACACGTCTGTGCACTTAGCCTCACTTTGGACATATCAAATTTCAACAAAAAAATGCATGTTGTTTAGTACATTGCAAATTTGTGAACACTTGTACCAAAAGAGGACATATACCAGTGCAAAATCTGCTCGAATCCCTTTACAAACAATTTTCAACATGCCATATAGCGTCGTGTTCTATAACATCTAATGAAAAATCTTGAGTTTATGTTTGAATTATCAGACGAATACAATGATGTTTACACAGATTTTGTCAGTTTAAACGAGTACAATATTTACTCATCTGTTCTTAGGGGTACCCATGACTAAGTCTTAGACAAAAACAACTTCACCATAAATTGTTTTTTTTTTTTCATTTTAAGTCCATAGTATAGCTACTTACAACGACAAAATGTATGAAACAATTTTTAAAAATTCTCATGATGTACATGTATATATGTTGTTATTGATGTGTTGTAATTCAAATCTCCAAATGGAGGAAATAAAGAACGAATGAACGAATGAATGAATGAATGATTGCTAAATTTAAAAAGTGATCTTATGACGATTTGGTTTTTATAATTGCTAAATGTAATATTTTAAAATCATACACGCGCAGGAGTGGCTAAAATTAGAAATTTTTGATTGCCTGATTTGATACGTTTGCAGAGACCAATATTACCAGTACCTGATCACTCTGTGCCTAGGTCTGATCATAAATGTTTCCTTTGTCTAATGGAATAACAAGAATCAATAGATTGAAAAAACAAACGAAAAAAATTAGACGGACGATAATATTTTTAAAGTGTAGAAAGAGAATGGGTTCATCGAATTCTGTAGAAGCCTTCTAAATACTTCAAAAGAACATCAAGATCCACGAATGGGTGTTTTATACATATCTACAAACTATTTTGAATTCCTACCCTTGTCAACAGGAACAGATTTTCACTAAATGCATTTACAAATTTAAATAATAATTCTCAATGAGTCAATCATATTTTATTCACTATATATTTTAAAGAAATCATGGATGATATGATCAATTCAATCAATTTTGTCAATTTAGAAAAAAAACACTATTAATCTTAATAAATTTATATGGCCTGGTATCGTCTCCATGGCAAAATAGTGCAGTTTGGCAATATAACGTCAACAAGTTTTTCAAGTAAATCCACCCGGCAAATACTTTTTTAGATGTGATGATTTGGAGGCATGCACTGACAAAAGATGCAAAACAGAAATTGCGGGTTTCTAGTGCATTTAGCTCTTGGCATCAATTATATGTTGGTTTTTTGAAATTTGAAAAATCCTGAAAAAAATGTTTTCATCACATGTAATTAGGTATACACGTAACATGATAAAATATCTCAATATTGAACTCAAAAAACTAGACAAAGGATATCAAAATTAAAATCGAATATAGACAGGGAAAGAAATGAAACATAATTTTTAAGGATTTCGAATTACTCGTGTTATTGCATTCATGTAAATCATGATTTTTCATCAGTTATATAAAAATCTTCTGTATTATCAGTTTGTCTCTGGGTCAGCAAGGTAAAAAAAATATTGAACAGTTAGTTTTCAAGGAGAACAATCTTTATACACATAATCTAGCAGTGCATAGTGTCTTCGGTTACAAAAGCGATCAATTACCTGAATCAATAGGGTGAACATATAAATATGGTATAAAAATTAATAACAGCAATAATGAAATAACGTACATGTAGAAAATTTGTGTTGTAACATTTCCTTAAGTTATTTTCGTGTAAATATTTTACACAGACACATGATAGTATATGCATCTTGATATGTTGAAACACAAAATCAAATTTCTAAATATAAAACCACATTAAAGCTACACAAGACTCGAAAATGTAAATAGGCATAAGTTATATTACATTTAAGATATTCGTTTAATATTTTAGATGTATGTTCAGCTTTAATTCACTTTACTATCTAGCTGTCATAGAATTCTTTTTCTAAAGATATCTTATTCTGTAGTATGCTTGGGGAAGATGTCTTCAATGAATAAATATCCAAATACGTTTCAATGGCGGTAGTGATTCGAATACACAACTGTTCGCAAAATTGCAGAAAGTATCATGATGAAAATTCCAATTACAACGGAAGTGACGACAAGGCTACGTGCGAGTCTCGACTGCGCTTGTGCTTCTACTTCATCTCCCTCAGCAGCTGCAGCGTTTGCCTGAATAAGAATGACAAATATTTGAAAATATATGACATTTTTATACAATTAATTTTTTTCAAAACTTCTTACTGTCCAAACCTATATAACATATATCCCTTATCTCCCCTTTCAGCGATGAATGTGAAAATTATTTTGTAAGTTGCAATTTTCTGTGCTCAAGTTTAAGCTTAAGTTATGATGATAATGTCTAAAACAAAGACGCCATTAAAAGACATTATACTTTGACAGGTTGGTTAAAGAGAAATCGATTACAAAAGTGTTTCTGAGTTCACATACTGCTACCAGTCCATTCAATTGGAGAAAATGAAAGCTCATTCTAAACGTAAACACTTAAGATTGTTATTGCAAATGAAAACATACATTTACACCATTTATGTATAATTCTGCCCTAATTAAATTAGCTATGGATACTTCCATTGCAAAAGGGGTTATTCTGAATTTGCAATGAATAATTTGAATCTAACATATTACTTGTGCGTTCATATATTAATTTTAGCATATTTTAATATGAAATATTGACATCCTACTCTAATTATTCTCTCATTTTATTTCTAAAGAAAGCCGTTGTTCTTTATCAGTCAATACACCCTAAGCATATCAACTGTACAGATGTGTTGAGCTGTTGCTATTCCATTATAACACCCATAGAACAATATTTAAGGACAGACGAGACGTTCCTCAATAATATATGATTTTTTCCATTTTTTTTTTCATTAAAGAATTACTACCTTAGCATGTTTACATGTACTCGCAAAAAATCAAGGAACCTTATCATGCGTTTTTTGTGAGATCCCAGAGGATGGCATTTTATATACAATTCTTTAGAAAAAAATACTTAGTTTTCCAAAATCACATTTTCAGTCTTTTAATTTTTAAATACAATTAAAAACCGGTTTAGAAAACAGAGTCATAAAGACTTTGTTTATTTTTCATAAATTATGAAGATATACAAAACAAATATTCGGGGAAATTATCGAGCTAGTGTAAAAGAAATATTACCTAACTCGCTTTATATTTTTTTTTACAGTTGCAACAACTATTCGCATACAAACTAACCAATGTAAAAAAAAATATTATTTGAATAACCACAGATTTCTTTTTTAAAACTTTTAGATTGGGTTATGATTGATTATAAATAGATCATTTTGAGACCCTTATACATTGCATTAACAACTGTAAGACATAAAACAAAACTTAATGGGTATCTCATATATTACAGCCATCTAAAAAAATATTTGTTTATTTTAGGGACGACCAATTGTAAAGTGCTCACTCAAATAGGGCTAGACATAGATTTTATTTTTTTTTCGAATTATATTGTGAATTTGTAAATGTCATTGTAAGCATTTTAACTTTCTGGTTCTTTCTTCACGGTAGAATTATACTTAGATACTCTTTCTTGTCCTCTTTACTTTCATGAAATACTATTTCAGTGTAATGTATCTCCAAGTATAGAAGTTTTCATAGACAATCAATGTGCTCAAATAATGATAATAATTCTATGTCTCATCTGATTTTGTGAAATTCTATTCCACATATATTCATAACAAAAGACTTTCTGTTACAAATAGCTTGATGTTTTATCATAAATATACTACATGTACATTGTGTAGTTTGCACTTAAGTTATACACATGCTTACATGGCAGTCAATAAATAAGCTCTTGTCTATTCTCCATAGTCATAAAGGTAAGAGTACTAATTTCACATACTCGTTTTTATATAATGATATCATAAATGCAAGATAAAAAGCAGACCAACAGAGCCCTTGTTTAGGAGAGTATACGAGAATGATATTTTATAATATTTCCATTTCTACTTTTTTCTCTGTGATAACTCATTGACAGTTGACGGAGTCGATTTCTTGATAATCTACCAAAATGTAAATTAGGCAGGTCGATAGGGCTAAGGGGGCTTACAGGCATGCAACTCTCGTGCGCATATGTCTCTGAGGCGGACGATAAGGGGGCAAAATGTGCATAAATCTCGCGCAGATGTCTTTGTGTTTGACGTCAGTGGGCAAGCACTATTGACATTTGCATAGGAATCCTCGTGTGATTTAAATCTATGTCTACATTTTTAAAGTCTAAATCGCCAATTTTTACAAAAAAATGGAAAAAATAAGGAATCATTTTCTAGATAGTATAGTATGCCAGGGACATCAATGTTATGCATTAGCCAAATTATTCCATGTTTCCCACTACCGCTGATGCCCTGGCATGCTATACTAACTAGAGGGTAATTCCTTAAATAACACATACAGCTGCTTCTACTCTACTTACGATTGAGAAACTCGTCTTAAAAAAAGTTATTCATATAAATGCTAAAATCACTAAAAATACGAGTAAATTCATTTCTCCAATTACCTTGCAAGCTGCAAAAATGGCAAAAATTCCTGTTGGCCAAAAACAGCATAAACAAGAAAGAATGGCAGGCAGTGTCCAATCCTGTCTCATGAGCCGTGATATCATCGTGGTAGCAGAACCAGGCTGACTGACCTAATAAGGATTCGCAGATATGACTTTTTGAATGGTTATCTACCTTTTGATATATTAAGGCAACATCAAGATATCATACTCGCCTATATACAATATGATATCATAGTAAGCTGTATAAATTGAACTTTATCGATACTGATTTTTTAATATGCACACGTACATGTATGTGCATGACTACCATACCTTTGTTTAGAAATCCATAATGTCTATCTTTTCTAAATTTCATATTGTGTTTATGCGCCCGGATCAATAGATCTGGGGCATATTTTGTTTTTGTCCTGCCTGTCTGTTTGTCCGCAAACTTTAACCTTCGCCATAACTTTTGAACCATGAAAGATAGAGAGATAGCTAAAATAGCTTTTTTGAACGTTACCCATTCCAATCGAGCCACGGGTTATTCTTTTTTCTCTTAGATATCTATAAGATTATTCTTATATTCATCTCAAAAGCGTTTCATTTTACTATGTTAATATATTTTCGAGTGTATTATATGTCTCTACATGTTCGTAGTCTACAAGAAAAAGATTTATTTATTATGTTTTGTACCATAGCTTTTCATGAACATCCAAAGTAAGATCCAGTAAATAAAAATGAAATCATACCATCCCCAGCACGCTAATTTATGGAGAGAAGGAATTAAGAAAAACGTAAGTAATTGTGACGTTTTTTCTTTCTTTTTTATAAAAAGGGAAAAATAGAGCAGGTCTTTGTTAATTTTGTTAGCGGGTCTCGCTCGAAGACCTCAATATTATCGATTCTGTGCATTACCGACTGAGCTAGTCGGCACTTATATTCGAACACGCGAATTGCTGACATCAGCCATTAATTGCTGTTGATTATCAATGGCTACTTCTATCGGTCGATATTATTTGTTACTAGTTATATACTTTATTTGAAAATTAAAAAATAATAGTGACAAACATATGCCGAGAGAGAGAGATAGAGAAAGAGAGAGAAAGAGGGAGAGAATGCACCAAACATAAATACAGTAACTATTCTAATTTTAGAATATAAATACAGTAACTATTCTAATTTTAGACCACTCTTCACAATTTCAGCTCCGCCTCTTATGCATATTTATAAATCTTATCTCCAATCAAGGGCAGGTAAGTCTAATTTCCCGATATTTGCAGAGAGGTGGGGTAAGAAAACAACAAATTATTTTATTGCAACGCAGTTTATAAGCTTTATGACAATGCCTTTCATTTGGAAAAAGACCAAACTCTATAACAAATGACTTAAGGCAAAAATGAAAACAAAAATAAATGTGACAACAGAGATTGAAAAAGACCCAAAAACTATAAAGTCTTTTGATAATATAGAAAAATAATAAAAAAGGAAACCTCGTTTACATTAACATTTGATTTAGTATATTTCAAAAATAACATCATACAATATTTCGAGTTTGAATTTAAGAAACTGCATAAAACATTGATATGATATATGAATATACACAGGGAAGGAAATGAAGCAATTTTGAGTTATGATCCTTCATCAGTTACATAAAACAATATTTGTACTATAAATGTGAAAATGAATGTATCTAGGTCAGCAAGTTTTAGGATATTGAATATTATATTAAAAAAAAATCCTAATATTACAAGAAAAGGTGATCTACCCGTGCATAATGTTTCGAGAGAAAAAAAAAAAACAAAGAATGGTTAGCTTTAATAAAATTAAATTAACAGCAAATCTGTGAAGGTGCATGTAATGAAACGACGTTGAAAAAAAAAATATGTATCATGATTTACTTAAGATGTATTTTTTCGTTATATATTTTACACATTTTTACATCCTGAGATAAAAAAAATTACAAAATCCATTTATTGAAAATAAAGTCACATTTAAGTCACAAACGACTCATACATGTAAAATTCCATACGTCAGATTAGATTTTGGATATCCGATTTTAGCATGGTACATGTAGCAAACCTTTTCGAATTTGTCACATCCGACGGTATTTTTGTCACGGGGACCGGTGTGGAATGGTAGGCACGTAAGCATTCATGCAACTTATCTTACACTACCTGTGTTTTCCATTTATCTACAGTTAAAGTTTACTTGTGTTTGTTTTTTGTATTGTTTCTTTTATCTCTTTCTTCTTCCACACACAATAAAAAAGAAAAATTATGCAGCATTAGGTAACGACTAATTTCACAGGATAGTGAACGCCTTGTACATGGGCTTCATATAACAAAAAAAAAACAATATGAAAGACAAATCCCTGTTCAGGTTTAACTGAACTAAACAATCCAATTGTTAAAGCTTTCGTTCTTCTGAATTATTCTTATTCTAAAGTATGTATGCATAGTAAGTCTTCAATGACGATAGTGGTTTGAATACACAATGGTTCGCAAAATTGCAGAAAGTATCATGATGAAAATTCCAATAACAACGGTAGTGACAACAAGGCTACGTGCTCGATTTGACTGCACTTGTGCTTCTTCGTCATTTCCGCTAGCTGCTGCAGCATTTGCCTGTATAAAGAAAACAAATATTTGAAAAATATGACATTTTTACCCAAAATTATATATTCTCTTTTCTCCAGTGAATTAAGTACAATGGATTTAGGAAATTGCAATTCCCTTTGCTCAAGTTAAATCTTAAGTTACAATAATAATATCGAAAAGAATGCGGCTACAAAAATATGTACTTTGATCAAAATAAAGACAATTCTATTACAAAAGTGCATGCTTCTATGTTCACATACTCTACTCAATTCAAAGCTCAATCCGAAAGTAAACCCTAACAATTGTCATAGTAAATTAAAACTTATATTTACAACATTTAAGTCCAATGTTTCCACGATTACTTGTACCAAAACTGTGGATACTTCTATTGTATAAGGGATTTAATCTGAATTTGCGATGGATAATTTGAATCTATCTTTTTTGATTTGCGCACTAATTTGCTTATTCAAGAACATTTTGATACAAAATTCTAAATCCTAAATAAAATTCTCTCAGTTTACGTGTATATCTGAAGAAAAGCATTGTTGTTTAAGCACATCAATCTAACAGATTTCTTCAGCTGTACGTTACTTTTCCATTATGAACTCATAAGATTTCGCCAACATCAACAGCTTAAAAACTGACGACTTTTCAACTTTTATACACAACAACTTCCCACGATAAATTAAAATCCAGACTTTTTGATATCATTGACAGTTGTTATTTTTTTTAATAAAATGGAACTCGTAAATTTACTTACCTTGTCATTGGTCATTTGCAAAATTAATTTGTTAAGAAAGATTCAGATTGCAGACACAAGTACTCTGAAGTTGATATCAAGAAACGATTCTGATTGACAATATCTGCTTGACAATCTATCGGAATTCCAGTGGGAACCAATTGCGCTCCGTTATAAACCTATTTTTGTATTCATAAGAAGCAGAAATTATGTGAAAAAAGAAGAAAGCACTTGCTGTGGCCTTCAACTCGACCTTCAGATATATCGACGACGTATTATCGATTAACAATGGTAATTTCCATTCCTACGTCGACAGGATATATTCAGGAGAGCTTGAGATAAAAAAAAAAAAAAACACAGAGTCTGACACATCCACTTCATACTGGGATATTTTACTTAAAAAAGACGTTAATGGTAACCTAACAACCAAGTTATATGATAAACGTGATAAAACCACCTTAACTTTCCTATCGTCAACTTCTCTTACTTATGCAGCAATATTACTTCATTACCTGTATACGGAGTGTATATATCTCTGTTGATTCGAGACGCAAGATATGCTCTAATGGAATTTCTAGAACGATAAATTTGGACAATAATCGATGCAAGAATACCAGCCCTCGTTTAAAGTCATCATTTCGTTAAGTTAAATGACCTTGTCAGCAAATACAGTTTGTTATTGAGCCAAATGCTGACACGTTTTGTATACCGATTGTTAGTCCATTATTTATACACTGAATTGACGACAAAATTTTCCGTTATTTCACGATCATGACAAGCACACAGCGGGTGTGATCAGACAGCAGGAAATGCTCACTCCTTATGGCACCCGATCCCACCTCTTATGTTATGGACTATTTTGAATTGTTTAATAGACTTTGATTTTGAATATTGTTCGTTATCTCCATATCTATATTAAAAGTACAATATTTATTCATCATGAACTTAATACTGTTATAATTGAGTATTTGTATTGAATATAAACAATATATCTTTGTTTAATGTATAATTAATTTTACAGCTATATTATAAAACAAAAATAACCCAACCCTCTTGCATGATTACATTTATACTATTACAGCTTCAACATCGATTCGCATACAAACTAACCAATGAAAGCATTTCATTTTAATAAATGCATTTGTCTTTTATCCATTAGATTGAATTGTGATTGGATACGAATGAATAGTTTTGAAGCCCTCATATATGTACTGAAAAACAGTAAGACATAAGGAAAAACGTAATGGGTATCTAATAAATTGTAGCCATCTGAAAATAAATAGTTTATTAATCTATACATTTTGGGGACGAGAAATTGCGTGTAGGTACTCAAATGGGCCTTAACATCTAATTTATTATTTTTTTCCAAATTTGGAATTTTTCATGCATTTGTAAATGTCATCGACGGCATTTATATTTTCTAGTTCGTTCTTCAAGGAAGACATTGTGAAAAATATTTACCAATATTCATTAGGTATTTAATGATTTGTTTTCGCTTTTATGAAATACTATACATGTACAAGTATAGAAATTATAAAAGTGTTCATGGACAGTTTATGTGCTTCAAAATGAAAAGTCCCTATCGTCCAGTGTTGAGAGATTCTTATCAACATATATTCATAATGAAAAAAAGACTTTCTCTTACAGATAGTTTTTATGTTTTATCATTAATATACTAGGTTATATTATTGCATTCAAGTAATGCACATGTTTACTTGGCAGTCAATACAGAAGCTTATGTCTAGTCTCAATAGTTATGAAGATATGAGTCCTAATTCACATATACATTTAAATTACTTCAATTTACCTAATATTGATGGAAAATTTAAAAGCAGACCACCAAAGCCTAGTTGGTTTACAATAGTGATATTTTACAAGAACACAATCATACAGCCGTTTCTATTTTGTTAATGACTGAGAACCTTCACTTGTCTTAATAATAATTCTTCCTATATATGGTGAAATCGATAAAATTACGAGTAAATTCATTCCTCCAATTACCTTGCAAGCAGCAAAAATGGCAAAGATTCCCGTTGGCCAAAAACAGCATAAACAAGAAAGAATGGCCGGTATTGTCCAATCCTGTCTGGCAGTTCGTGATATCGCCATGGTAGCAGAACCAAGCTGACTGACCTAATAAGTATTCGCAGATGCATGACTTTCTCTGGTTATAAACTTATTTAAATATATAGGCTACATCTAAAAATTCAACTCACCTATGTAGAAATGTATAAAGTTAAGCAGGGTTTAAACTTTAAAACGATTTTTTGTGATATTTTGATAAATTTATTTTTGATATATAAAAAAAAAAATTAAGTATATATAGGGTATTGTTTGATCTATTCAATTATTCATCTGACAGATAAGTCGGAGAATAACAATGTCGGAAAATATTTAAATCATTGTCTTTAGAATTAATTTAAATAGGAGATATTTGTTTCTTTGGTTACACAAGCAGTAAAATTGTAAAATTTGGAGAGGACAATCTAAGTTTTTGGAACCTATTTTCATTCCATTTGAAATATATCATGCATATTGTCATAAATTCAAAATAAACTAAATTGTTATTCAATTTACATGGTTTTCCAAAATCATAATTCATCAACTGCTCAACACAAAAATGTATGCATAAAAGATAAATTCATGAAATTGTTCATTTGAGTATATGCTAAACTCATTTACATGCATTTCACAACATTCCAAATCTTCTTAGAAGAAAGGTCTTGTCAAGTATAAGAGATCTGTATGAACTCAAGAGTAAAAATTCATAGTTAAATAGTATATATTGTTAATTTTAAATTTAATACCTCAAAAATTAGTACACATAATCCAATCAAAAAATCGTAAATTTATCTGTGGTTCTAGTTTGTGATAGTCCGACTTTGTTTTGGTCCGACCTATCAGTAAATCAATTATTCATACAAGAAATTCATGTTAAAAACAAAACACTAGATCAAGACGTCGTAGTGGAGATATCTTTGAGTTTAAGGCTCAACTAAGTCTTTATAATGGATACTAGACGGACTATAATTTTCTATGATTTTTTTAAAACCATAAATAAAACATTACCAATTATTTATTTTAAATTAAAAAAAAAACAAAATATACCAAAATGTTCTGTGCTCTGGCCTAACACAGACCTTCGTCTATAATGTTATAATGTTTTCTTCTTTATTTACTCAAAATAACACCTTACCACCACATTGTGAGTAAATCCTTGTGGAGCACCCGGTACGTGTTGGTAAGGATAGGGACCAGGAGAACTACTCTTTGGAGGATATTGATAACCGGGATACTGTCCTGTAGTGCCACCTGGTGGCTGATAATGGCTGTACTGGTTCTCAGGTGTAAAGAGAGGCTGGGAACTAGGATTGGTTACTTCATCGTAAGAAGGGGGAGCTACAAAAATTAAATATCTCAATGTAACATTACATTTCAGCAAATAAACATTGTTATCAGTACGAGGGTAAATAATGTCATCAGCTCGATGACATACAACACAGACATCATACATGTATGACATAAAGATTTACTTTCTGTCATTATTGAATCTTCAATTAATTGGTAATATTTATGTGACCATTTTCACCACAGACTTTCATTGTGGGAAACTATAAAACAAGGGCTATTTGCATTAAAGTTAATGTTAAAGAATCAGTAAACTAGAGCAAAATTAAAAGCTTTATTAAAGTTGCTGTAAAAATTGGTTAGAATCCTAAAGAAATTGAATTCTACTTAAAATTAATATCTTAAATTTACAGCAACCAATGTCTCTTTTATACACAAATAAGCAGGTGGATTTCCATGAACAGAAATGATAAATTTGCATGAAAAAATGGGTACCATCCAATGGTTTGTTTGCGAAAATTCAACAAATTATATTTGATTGACTTTAAGACACATAGTAAATTTGATACGATGGGCTTTATTCTTGGGGTAGTTCACAATGTTTTAAAGAAACGTATTACAAAGCTGAATACTTAAAGGTCACATTATGTTTTGAAAAGTGGATGGAAATGGCACCTAAGAATATCTAATCATTTATTTTAAACATAAAAAGTGTACTTATCCACGTTTGTCCGAAATTAAAACAGATATTCTTGAATCCATTGTCTTAAACCCTCTAATAAAATCTGCATTAATAAGATACACTTGACAAAACAGCAAAGGCCTGAAGAGAGCAGAGACTTAAGCTTGCAAAAGCACAATAACTGATTTATATGCTATTTTCGTAAATATTATTGGTCCGATTGTTCAAATTCTTTTTCGGGGAAGCAGTTCAATTTCTAGAAGAGTCTAGAAAGCATTTTTTGCAAAAAAAAAAACAAAAAAAAAAGACAAGAGGTTTGTGAGAGGAAGCGACCAGAATCAGTAATCCACTACATTAATTTTCCTCATGTCAGCATCAAAACCCACAGACCAAGAAGAGTAACGGTGTTTTGGAAATAAATAGAAAGTTAATGTTTTGTCACATCAACAACAGTCACCATATCTTTCAACATTTTTAATCACAAAACTTGTAAAAACACCTTTCAGAAAGAAAAAAAACAAGTACAGGAAATCATGGGATCTGCTCTATTTTAGTATACCATGTATCATGCTCAAAAATGAGTTCTATAAAAAACAATAAAAAATTGGATAAGAATGTTACGGACAAGTAGTTTAATTAAAGGAGAAAATCTGAGTGAAATCATCAAGGTTAAACCGTTGGAAAACGTTCATTGTTTCTCTCCAAGAAATGATGACATTATTTACTGAATAATCCTTGTTTAACAGATGGCCTATAGGTAAAGAGAGATGTTCTCTTTAAATTAAAGAATTGGAGAAAACAAATTTATAATATGTTGATGTATTAATTTTCAGAATTAAGTGAGTTTTGGTTTTTTTTACCTAATAAAAGACATAAAGATTCTCTTAAACATTTAGATTGTGGTTCACATTATTTTGGTTCACACTGATATAAATTGTACGGTCTGCCTCTAAACTTTGAAATGAAGCAAATGACATTTCTTTTATTGCAAATCTCTTATAATTAATTAGTTTTTGGTAAGTTAATTTTCTGGTTTTTGATACAGTAATAAAAAGTCTCGATTAATCAAAAGTTTTTATTTAAGATTGATTTGAAAATTTAATCGTGGCTCTCGTTTTAAAAAAAAATGTGCGAAACAAGTATTTTCCGTCAATACATTAAAAGCATTTAATCATAATAGTGTTTAAAAAAGTTAATGTGTTTAGACATTTACATTGCATAGCTTAAAACAAAATCGAAACAGTTGTCTTAAGATTCTATAAGTAAATGATACTTGTAACAGCTGAAATGAAATAAAAAAAACCCTGTTGTAAAGTCCTACGTTTGGGTTGCAGTGAAACTGTATGTTCAAAGACATATACATCAATTATCAAAAAAAAAAAAAAATGAATGAGTATAAACAATGATAAAAAGAATTTTTATCACGGGTCGGCTTATATTGACCCAAAGATACCCATGAAAATATTGGGATAATATTAACACTTTAGTACATGTACTATAGTATGCAGTTTTGCATAATTATAGTGTAGGCATGCATAGTATTGATCAATCTTTGTTATAAAATAGTCACCGTACACCACTTTGAATTTATTTGTTTCTGAAAAAAAAACAGTCGTGAGATAAGTTTGTAAGCATGTTTATATCTTCATGTATATGTTATGCATGCAATTTCGATAAACATGTGTTCAGTGTTAATGTCAACAAATATATTTTTAGGTTATTATAATTTCCAAGAAAACTTGATCGATCGATCTCACTAATGACCTCAGTGTTACTCCATTCATCAGTATGGGATCAATAAATACTCCTAGAACATTCTACACTACTCTAGTCTTCAATATACTACGCTACTCTAGTCTTCATTATACTACACAAGATAGAATGTGATTTTTGGTCCTGTATATATTCCAGCAGCAATAACATGAAGCTATGCAGTTGGATTGCAAAAATTCATTATCATGAAAAATTGTTTCAATTACAGGCCCAGTTTTTTTTTTAAAACACACACGTGTGTATAGTTTCTGTTTACATCCTAAGCCAGGAGATCTTGATGCAGAAAAGAAATGATAATAGAATTGATTACATATACAGATTTGAAATAACACAAAACATATACAATACTGAAAATTATATATGCCTACTTACGTCCTCTTTTATCCTCCGAAGACATATTGACACTGTTCAATACGCAATAACCATCATATTATTGCACGGAAGTACTGACAGATCAGCCAAAACTGCGCACGCAATAGTGAATTCCCACTGCGGAGGATGCAATCTAATGAAAACAGAATTCTTAGATCTGTACAGTACATGCGCGGATCTAGAGAGGGTCGGGGAGGGGGGGGGGTTCGGGGTAGTCAGGAACCCCCCCCCCCCCACCTGGAATTTACACGGTTAAAAAATGTATATACTAAAGCAAAAAAAAGTCACCTTAGACCCCCCCCCCTGGAAAACGCTGACCCCCCTGGTGAACATGAATATTTGTGAAATGGGTATGAAAAGGGGAAGATTTGAGGCAATAGAAGTCATAGACTACACCCCCCCCCCCCCCACCCTCTCACGAAATAGATTTTTCACCTTTGGGCGAGTTAAGTTTTTTTTTTTTTTTTTTTTTTGGCTTGTCAAGGAATTTATGGGATTGGTATTTTTTTGGACTGGGTGGACCCCCCCCCCTTGAAAAAATTTCTGGATCCGCGCCTGCAGTATACACTGGTGTATTGTAATTCTCTCTCTCTCTCTCTCTCTCTTTCTCTCTGTATTAACAATAAAATAATATCATTATTGTCAAAAATATAAGGGGAAAAAGAAATTCATTATTACAATCTTTGTTTTAAAACAGTATATATAACTAAATATAACTAACAAAGCTGCGCGTATACTTGTAGAATCTACAATCTAAGTAACTAAGACGACTTTCACAGGAAGGTATCTTCCTGTGGAAATATTTCGTTTCCCGCCAAATGTTGATAATCAGATAAGATAATGATAGACTGTTATAAGTCAGCTTCTGAGAAACAATTACAAAGAACTTTCAACTTACAGTTATCACAATTCAATATTTAAAAACATACATACATGCATATACAAAAAACAATTTAGAATACAAAACTTTTAACAGTCTAAAAAACGTAAATAAACAAGACATATATTCATTTATTTATCATGTTTATCTTAATTGGAGATATATGGATGAAAAACCTTCAAATGTCATTAGGTTAAGGATCTTTAATCCGATATATTTTAATTAACGGGTTTTTCCCTCTCATTATATGCTAGAAATACATGTATTGAATATTCTTTTTAAATGATATTTTAAATGATATTTTAAAGAATAATTTACGCATTGAATCATAAAGTATAAAATTTATGAACAACACTGAATGAAAAATCCAGTTTCCGCAAAATGAAAAAACTATATTGAACTGTTAAATAAATATTGAAATCTTTTTGAAACTTGGGGTTTCACTTTTTAGTATGGTTTCCGCAGTGCTAAAACGATATAATATAACTGACTTTTAAAAAAGGTGCGTACTCGGTGAATATCGTGAAAATTAAAAAAAAACTGAGAAAAATAAATACCGTATGCAGGTGAAAGCGGGATATATTAGCATAAATTGGAAAAGTTCACGATAGATAAGTTGACATCTAGACTTCCACAAGTATTAATGCTTTTATTTTTATTTTTCATATTTTTTTTTTTATAATTATTTGTTTATTTTTTGTATTGCTGTCCTCTGCTCTCTACCATAGTTAAATGGTATCAAACATTGATTTTTTCTCATGTCTGTATGTTTCTATTTTTCTTTTTTCTTGTTTGTTTTAAATTCTTTGTTTATTTTTGTATTGCTGTCCTCTGTTCTCTACCATAGTTAAATTTTATCAAAATTAGACTTGTAATAATGAGCCCCACTATTAAATCTGTCATCATGTTTAGCTTTACGAGTCATTTTTATGGCCTTTCACATAATTAAAGTGTTTTTGCTCAGCTAACAAGTACATTCCTGTTAACAGCCCGAACTTAAACTCGAATGTCTGATTTTACACCTAGAAAGGTTATTTTTAGTTTTATTAAAAATACATCGAGAACAAAGAAATTATCTCTTTATTTTGTGGAAAAAAACTGAGGATAGTAATTTAAGAAGAAAAGTATTTCAATGATCATCTAAAAAGTAGTACCATGTATTAATTGACGGATACTTGCACATGCATGTATTTTTACAACGCACTCTGAAAACTTTGGGACCAAATCAACGCACTTTTTTAATATCGTCCATATTAATGCACTTTGAAAAAAAAAAGTGTATGGCTTGCAATTGGTCAATATTCTTGTAAATCTTTTGTATGATAAAAAATTGAACCTCTGGGATAACTTTTCGGTGATGAAGTCACTTCAGGATGTGAAAGTTTTTTTTTTATTTTGATTTTTCCATACTTTGAAATTTCTTTCTCTTTTCAATGTTTACTGTATTTAAACTTTTCCAGTTTGCATGCATTTTCTGTAAACTAAAAATTGTTGAAAATTTCAACGTCATTCCAGTTATGCCTATACATATAAATTTGGGTGCAGCATAGGAATTGGTACGGGGGATTTGGCGCACAAATGATTTGCAAAGATATAAATAATACAGGCATTGAAAATTGGTGCTTACCTTAGGGGTCGATCCTATTTTAATTTGCTACCGACGGCTATGTATAAGGGAAAAAATGGGCTAAAAGACCTTCTACTCGTCTCAATGAGGGTAAATCAATAAATGTGAATTTAAAAAGATTTATGAAAGATAAAATCATTACAAATTGATTTCATTTAAAATCAATTACTAAAACCTAAGTCTAGATTTTTATTTGTTTTATACATATTTTTTTTCAAAGTGCGTTAAATGTCACAATAGTAAAAAAAGATGTTAATGTACATTCTTAAGGCACGATGAAAAAAAAATCAAATTGCGTTGAGTGTGTCCAAAATTTAACGCACTTTGATTTTTTCGCAAGTGCGTTGATTTTGTACCTTTTTTCAAATTGTCAAAGTGCGTATTTTTGCCACAATGCAAAGTGCCTAGCTACAATGTATTGACATAAATCCAGAGACCCATACAGAAACAGTGTACTGCAAATGTGAAGTGGAATTCATAATAAAAGTGAATGAAACTGTCTTAAAACTAATGCAGTCAGGCGATGTGCACTCAATCCTATCTTTTGTAATGCATTTACCTGACTTCTTATAAGAGAGGTCAAAGGGGATCAATTGTTTTATCGAGTTAAACATAAGGCTCAGAACAGAAAAGTGCCAGATATAAGGGTTTACCACTTCCAGTATTTTAACAGAGGAAAACATCCTTTTTTCTATAAATAAACTTCTATAACTTTTTTTCTGGTTCAGTTTTATTTCACTTATTAATATTAGAAAATTGCTTTAATCAATCAGATATTGCTTGAAATATATTTTTTTCATTTTACTCAGAGAAGCTTAAGAAAAAGGTGTTAAATTCGACCAACTTTGTAACATTTAGGAAATCCCCTAAACCATTCATCACCTGTCAACTTAATTATCACCAATTCTCCAGCTGCTCGCTTCAGTGGTATAATATGATCCTGTAACCGACCATGTTCTGGTCGGTGAGGACATTATCAAAAATTATGAAAACATAGAGAATTGAGCAAGCTTATAAAAATGTTTATGAATAAATATATCATGCATTGGCAATAAAATATTTCATGTAAGTCTATTTGTCATGAAAAATACCATTAAAACTGAAAAATATATAAGGATATTAATAAAAGCATAAGACGGTGGGCACTGCGATGAGTAACCTGCTGCTGACAAATAAATCCAATAAGAATAAAGCTAATTAACTAAGAAAAAATTGTTCAATTTATGAATCTTTTAGCACAAAAAAAGAAACCGGGATTGTATTTTATGCATGAAGTCTTATTTTATCCTGGAACATAAGAGATTTCATAGCTAGAACATGGAGAGATACCAAAATACTTAGAACATGTGCTCTTGCGTATCGAATCAACTCACTCTGTATGCAGGTGATGAAGGTATATTGCTGCATAAGTAAGGGATGTTGACTGTAGAAAAGTTACTTTTATCATAGATCTTGTTTGTTAGATTACCATATACGTCTTTTTCAAGTAAAATATCCAAACATGTATCAGATGTGTCAGACTCTGTATTATCTTTTATTTCAAACTCACCAGGATACATCGCATCGACATAAGAATGGAAATTACAATTGTTAATTGATCGATATCTCTAAATGTCGAATTAAAGGCCACAGCAAGTGTTCCTTTTTTTTCTTTTTTACGCACAAGATTTTGCACAGAGTCTGCTTCATAAGTATAGAAAAAATAGCTCTGCTAATAACGGGGTAATACAATATTTTTTTTCTTACTATTTGGACCAAGACCTTTTATAATAAATTCAGTACTTTCCTAAGGTATTATTTGTAAATAATGAACAATTCAATTTTTTTTTCATTGACATAGCTGAGCTTTTGTTGTTCTATGCAGATAAGAATCCCTGTATTTCTTTATTTTCATCATTGTCTAAAAGCCATCATATAGGCTAAAGAGATTAACTCTGTAAGAGTAATTTCTCTTTTTATGCAGTCAACTCTTATAGATTTATCGAAACTTTTCATTGAGATTTTGCAGTGTTTTCATTTTTATATATACACTGTATATACTGTTCATATACACATGGCTTTGTTTCTTTTATTCAATTCTGGTAAAGTGCAACCACAGAAATATGGGGTTGACATCTCCCAATATATTTAACTTTTGTTTTCATGCTCCGAGTACAATCAGTGGACAAAATAAGTTGTAAAGCAGGGTTTTCAACAACTTCTTTTAATATCGACATTTTAATTGAATTAAATGATTGTAAGTTATATTGACCATGTAAGCAAATATTTCCTATCATTTGGTCTTACTAAGACTGTTTTTTATTTTTTAAAACCATTTGATAGACCTTTGTTTGACACTAAATATGACTACTTAACGTTAGACCTGTCTTCCTGGTCAATAGGAAAGGCTTATTGGGGACGTGACCGGTCAAAAGTGATTACTGACTTCAACATGAGGACCTGACATTCTATCCCTACTCTAAAAATCCACGGCTCCGTGCTTTCTGCACTTTTATCTGAGTTTTCCTGAAAATGATAATCTTTATGTCCGATTGATGTTCAATATCCTACTTTTTTTATTGACATGCAATGATGAAAAGATATTTGAAGTTATGTATCAATAATCAATTGTCAAGCCAATTTGGAAAAAAATACTTAATTTTTTGTAGGCAAATTCAATTATTTATGTATAAATTGTATGTTAAGTTTGCTAGTGTTTAGATTGTGTGTGTATGTGTGTGTGTGGTCTAACAGTCTTAAGAAATTTATGTAGGCATGCATGTTAACTTTAAAGTTTAGTGCAATAGACGAATTCTGAAAAGGGGATTTCCCGTAACTTCACCCTTTAATTGCGTTCTCTCCTGTAGTATGGCGTCTTTCATGATTTGCCCAATCTGCTTTTAACAATAAACACATGACCATCCCACCTTTAGGTACATTGTACCGCGTGTCAAAATATTACTTCCTGGTCTGCACTGTTTGAATTTGAATTTAACAATTCATTTTTCTTTATTCTCATTTTAACGTTCTGGGGGAATATATTTCCACATTAAAAACGTAGTTTAAATTAGTTTCAATTAGATAAATTAATCAAAACTTGAGAACCGAACCTTTTACAAGTATATTTTTTCAGTTCATATTTAAAAATGTTAAATATTCAAAATGTTTTCAATATGCTTATTTGATTTATCTTTAAAGCAGGACATTTTAAGTCTTTCATAACAACAGCCAATACTCTGTCAATTAAGAGTGGTCCTTTGTCAATATAATAGTGCATTACTTTAAGTAGTTAAACATTAACACAGTATGGCAGGCGCACTAGAATTTCCAGAAAGTTATTTTTAATTTTAAAAAGTTATAATTTACGCTACTAATATTTCGATACAGATCTAAGATAAAAGACTCAAGCATTTTAAACTTAAATCAAAATATCTTTTATATAAATATTTTGTTTATTTCAGTGTTCTCTGATTTTTTCTGCCGATTCACAGTCCCTGGATCGCTTTTCATTTTCAACTAATTCAAATAGAATATAACATTGTTTTTATTTCCAGGACGTAAATGGAAGGTTTGTTTAATTTGATTTTGAATTATTGACGTGTGAAATGTAAATCAACTTCACTAAGATCCTTCATAAAAAAATCAAATTACTTTGTAAAATGATTGGATGTGAGGATATTGAACATTTCCAGGAGAGAAATAGGCATTTCCGACACATAGTGGTGATAAATACATATATCAACTGATCTTTATTGAAAAAAAAAATACAAAATTAATTCAACAAGAAAATTTATTTGTTACAAGTTTACAGCTAATTAATGAGTCACAGAAAAAATATTAGTATATATTGGTTGTAAAAAAAAAATCACAACTTTCTCGACCCAGAATTCAATACACTGAGTTCAATAACATTTACAATAAAAAAAGAAAATAAGGTATGTGTTAACACAGTAATCTCAATTTAATCTAATTAACCTACATGTAAAATAGCTAACATTTATTGTACGAAATTTCTTATGACATATAAACAATGTTGTCTCCTCATCAGCTGGCTTTGAACTGTTAACAAGTTGAAATATACATGTATGCATGAGATTATACCTGATGAAGAAAATGAAACATGAAATTTGCAAAACAGTTACAGTGTGTATATTGTATTAATAAGTCAAGAATAGTGCTTTTGAAACATTGATGTCCCGAAAATGTTCGAGCTTAAAATAAAGTATCCAAATATGCAAATCAAATTTCCTAGGTCAAGCCAACCATTAAAAAAAATATTTGTACAAACAAAAAGCTCTTGTCACATTGAATACGTATTTGAAATATAAAAGCATTAGCACCAATCGTTCCAAAATTATGTTTGGGGTTAAGGTTTGGAAAAATCTTGAAAAAGAAAATCAAACTCCGAGGTCAAGGTGACAAGGTAAAATATATTGGTACCGGAAGGAAGGTCTTGTTACAAAGGAATACACGTGTATAAAATGTAAGACCAGCACCAACCACTTAAAAGTAATAAAGGCAAGATAATTTTGTTGGCAGACAGACAATAAGATTATCAGACAAACAGACAGACGGACAGACCTAAAATTATATTACCCGGAATATTCAATTACGGATGATATTTAAAATAAAGAAAAACACCACATATCAAGTTATGAACATATTGTAAAACTGCCAAATTATCTTTGGTTTTGAAAAGCAGAAAATAACTGAAAATTTCCTAAATGAAATCCAGTATAAACTTGACTTGACACACTTTAACTTTTCAGCATACTCTTAGTATACGGTGATATACACTGTACATACATGAATATTTTCCAGAATCTGCATAAAAAACACCATGGCAGACCCATAAATTAGTATTAATTATAGTCCTCACAAAAAGATCACAATAAGACCGTTGTTTTAGTAATGTCTGTAGCTGCTACTAGAATAGAGGACCACCCGCAGTATCACGCTAAGTGCGATGACGATGACTCCGATGACAACGGAAACGATGACAAGTGTGCGCGCGCGTCCCGCCTGTTCCTGCGCTTCCACGACATTGCCAACTTGAGCAGCGTTTTTGGCCTGTTAGAAAAAAAAGGAATATATAAGAAAGGAAAAAACATTCATACAAGAATTAACAGATAACATAGCTTCGGTAGATTCTCTCTCTCTCTCTCTCTCTCTCTCTCTCTCCAAAAATAGATAAAAGTAAAGCATTCAAAGCATTAGAAAAATTCAATTTGCCGAATCGGCGTTGAAAAATATATTTACCAAAATAGGTTTTCGTAAAAATATACACAATATCTTATTACTAGTACCTTATTAGCAGCAAGGATAGCGAAGATCCCTGTTGGCCAGAAGCAGCACAAACACGATAAAATGGCGGGTACCATCCAGTCTTGTTGTGGGGGCTGGGCTACCACCATTGTAGGCCCGGGCTGGGCAACCTGTTGGGAATATAAAGACAAAACATTAAAGACTGCATTAAACATGAATTCGTCATTGTCCTCTCCATATTCTAGATGATCAAACTTCTATCATTTTTTATTTACGTACATAGGCGACGGAAAACTTATCATAATGACCCATGCAAAGTTTCTACTCGATTTAACTGAACGAAGCTCAGTAGATCATATAATTTTTTTCTGAAAGTTAAACTATTTTGCAATACACTTATCAATGATTTTTTTGGGGGAAAGTTTACATCTCCTTTAGTTAATCTATTTTGCAATGATATCGATATATTATTCCATTTCTATGTGTTATCTCATCGTCAGAGCCATTTGGTGTTCTCTCTGTTACACAGCATAGTAACGGAGAGAAAACCTGTGGGTTCCGACGCTGTTGTTTTCTCCCTGATAAGTCTTTTAAAGTTAGTAGCGTTGAATCTTTAATAATTCTTCGCCCTTTATGCAAAATATCCCACGTTTCAAACTATCGTAGATACGCTGGCCTACTCTACTAACTAGACAGTGATTCTATGAGTAACTCGTTTATTGATCAGCTATATTGTTATGATCGATTATGCATAAGATTTTTATCGTGGTTGTATACAACTGCGTTCAGTATGCATGGAACAAAGGGGCCTCCGATAATTTTGCCGATAAATAGTATAATAGAGAAAACATAGTTACTACATGCCTTGTGTCCTATCAATAAACATGTTGCTTGGAAAAGAGATTTTGGAAGTTGATAGTGCACCCCACCTAAAAATAAATGGATGCCCCTCCCCCCTTTCTCCCAAACTGAAATGCCTTCAAATGGCTGAAATGGAATTTGGATTTGAATATAGAGCTTTATAAAAGTTACAACATAAAGCCTAAAACTTGAGGCCTTAATCCCTTACCCATGCAGATGTCAAGAATTTTACAATTTTTGAAAGCACTGTTGCATGATATACATGGGATATTAGAAGAACTTTTGAAGTAGAAAAATGCCTTTGATATTATATTCATTTACAATATCTTATCATCTTACATTCAGCCACAAAGTTCCAAAGGAAATCAAATAAACGTTTCATTAAGTTATATTGTTTAATACTAAAATTTTAAAAAAAATTGATTCATTTTGACGTCATTGGCCACGCCCCTCGTGACCATGTAGGTAACAGTCGTCAAATTCAAGAATTATAAAGTCCCCGTGTTAACGTTAATCTTCACTGCACTGCACAGTTCCGCATTTCGACGGACGAAGCACGGTACCGGACAAAACTGGACAGCAATATGTCATTGAGTGACAATTAAAGGTCGAACCAATTGTGTTATTATACTTGAATATGGTTTTTACGAAACAAACTCTCTGACAGACAGAAAAACCAAGAGAAAACCTACCACAACATTGTGCTGCTGATATTGGCCGGGTGGATTTTGACTTCCAGGATACTGTCCCTGGACGCCACCTTGCGGTGGATATTGACTTCCGGGATACTGGTTGTACTGGTTCCCGTACCCATACTGAGGCTGGGCGTTAGGATATGCTGCTTGGTTGTATGAGGGCGGTGCTGTAAAATAAAAAAAAGATAGATATCATGTATTAATTTATTAATAATAAATTCATTCTCTTCTTTATGGAAAAAAAAATATTTTCAATAAAAATTCCTTGCTTGCTTAAAAAATAAAGAAAACTTAAAAATACTTAGGTCTGGACATTTTAGAGAGAGTGAGAGACTAAAACATGTTTGTTAGGTTCAGATCATAGTCAACACATGTATGTCCTGCATTGAGACCATAAAAGTGGGTCAAACTTATATCTAGATATAATAGTTATTGGTAAACATGTACATGAATATAAAGTATTTTAATGTACCTCCTTATATCTTATATTTAAATAATACAAGAGGGGGTTAAACACAAATCAATTAAAAAATAGGGATATATTTGCAGAAGTAACTTCCTCGAGGACCTATAAGCATGATAAGGAGACTCTTCCGCCTCCTCTTCAAACGGTCTACATCCGGGAAGCAATTTTTAATCCTATCAGCACAAGTGATCTAGACATTAAAAAGTAAAGTCAAATAAGAGAATGTGTAATGATGTTAGTAAATCTATGTCAGTTCAATATATAAAGTGGAATTTTTAGACGATCTATTATAGGAATTTCTAAAACATTTTAAGCAAACTAAACAATAAGGCGTGGAAAGTAAAAGAACAGAAACATTGTATAATACATGTAATATATTTAGTTTCGCAAAATTTTTTGACAAGAAGTTAGAAGTATGGACACATAGTCTATAGATCCCCTCCACAAAGTTTAATAGACGTGCATTCAGTTTTATAATTTAGAATTTGATACATGTATGTTTAAAATAGAAAAAAATGTTTTGCTTTGAAGAAAGTAATTGATGAATCATCTACGGAACGGAATTTCTAAAAATTACAATAAAGGAATTACAATTAAGAAGTTTAAAATCTTTAACAGCTGTATGCAAATATGCCTCAAACATGCATTGTTACAAGGCGAAATGTAATAAACTCCATTGGATTAACATTTTGCGATGTTATTACATTTCGCCTTGTAACAATGCATGCATGGAAATGATGTTGTCTCTGGTTGTTTATGAATCAGTTGTCAATGTTGCAAGTACCTGATGACAATTTAGGTCTAAGTGAGACCCAAACGTAGGCAATCTGCCGTTGCTGGTTAGCACTATAACCACTGAGCAACATGCATTGTGAGTGTGAAAAAACGTAAAAGATATATTTTGAATGATATTCACAAAGCTTTGTACCTGGCCACAAACACAGTATGTATATATTTTTGTATATGTATATCTCTGGCTTTTTGTATTATGGTTCACGGTGTTTATAAATGACAACATGTATATAAATTTTACACGTTAGCAACACAGATACCTGTGGACAGCCCCCCCCCCCCCCCTTTTTTTCCGCGTTATTCAATCACCGGCTTATTAGACATTTTTTTTCACAATTTTTATAATTATGTTATACATGTGTATTTATTATACTTATTCATTATGTGTACAATAGTCAAAAAATCAACCGCAAAATAATCGCTCCACAAAAAAAAAACCCAAAGAAAAAACGACTAATATATGCATTATTAGAGAGAGTAGAAGGGTTTTTATGTGGAGTTATTAACTCTTTCCTATTGTACACATGATGAATAAGTGTAATAAAAAATATAATATGAGAAAAAAATGTCCAACAAGCCCCGGGGTTGAATATCGAGGGTGGTGGTTGGGGGGGGGGGGGGGCTGTCCAAAAACACATGTGCTTAGCAATGAGTCATGTGCAAATTGACGAAGTTTATAATAATACATGTACATAGAATATGCCGAATACTACTATTGTATCACATTTTGTGAATAATTATGTTCTATTTAATAATAATGCATGTAACATGCCCGACAGGGCCCTGATCTGGAATAATAGATTCAACTATTATTCAAGTACATGTAAGTTTCTTCCTGAGGTAAAGATTTAAATTTTGTTTGGAATTGAAATAGGAAATGATGAGATTGTTTAGACCGTGTGTCAAATGTAACAGGTGCTCACGTCTAGGTACTGAGTGTCCTCTGAAAATCAATAGATGTATCATCCGGAATTTACCATTGATCTGAATGATTTTTATCATTATGTCCTCTACAAAAATTTTAATTTTTCAATTAAAATTTGTATTTGACAATTATCAAATACAAATTTTTAATTGAAAAATTCAAATTTTTGTGATTTTCAATTAAAATTTGTATTTGACAATTGTTAAATACAAAGTTTAATTGAAAAATTCAAATTTTTGTCGAGGACAATTATTTGATTATAACAGCAAAACAATTGTATTTTTTTTTTTTAGAAAAAAGCAATCAACTTATAAATTAAGTTTGGCTCTTATTAAGAGTCAATGGCACGTAAAAAGATATATCATGATACTCGACATATATATGTTACAGGACTTAATAAAGTATTTTCTAGGGATAGTTAGTGGGCTATCATTTGATACAGTTATGTGCATGAAACATATGGAGATACACAGTATTCAAGATCAAAAGTTAATAAAACATTACAAAATAGGAGCAGGACAAACACGAGCCTTCAAAACATCAGAGTTGGGATCAGGTGCTATTGAGGAGTGAGCATCCCCTGCAGACCGTTCACACTCGCCGTGTGCTCCTTGTCATGATCGGAAAATAACAGAAAAATCGGTCGCAATCTAATTAAAATTAAATGTTCCGACTTTGCTATCGCTTCTCGTTTGAGAAGCGATAGAGGATTCGGAACATCTGATTTTAATCAAATTGAATCCGACGTCAACTCAGTGTATAAATAATGGACTAACAATCAGTATGAAAACGTCAATCAGCATTTGACTCAATTATAAATTCATTTATTGTATTTGGTGACAAGGACATTGTATCGACCAAAGAACTTTCTAAATGATAACTTTCTATGAGCTGCATAAAAAAGGAAAAAAATATTTTTAATAATTTAATTTAATTTAATTATTGTATATAAATGCATAATTTAATATTCATAACGCGATACATTTAAAAAGTTTGCAATAAATCGCAAAAATATGAAAACAAGGTCGGCGTCCTCGAATAGACCCCCTACCCCCACCCCCACCTCCCCAATCAAGAATGGCAAATGTCATTAAAATATGGTTTAATTTAAATTCCCTCAACAAGGCATCCAAAGAAAAATTTCATTATCTATGACCCATGCATATTTGTACAGACTATGAATATTCATTTTCTACTTGAATCGGGATAAGCTTGTGCTTGGTGTTCACAAAAGGCAAGCTATGAAATCTGCACCTATCACTGATTTTTTTTTTTTCATAAAAATTAAGGGATCCAACGTTCAGAAGTAGCTCTGCTAATGGTCTATATATCTTTTTGATATTTTCAGATGTTGGCCTAAATATTAGTTGAAAGCCATGCATCATAATGAGTTTTAAACGAATAGGATCAAGAAAAATTATGCACAATAAATAATCTATTAACATGTGCGAGTCTAATCCCGGAAAATAAAATAGCATTCGTATTAACCTATGAAAGACAGGTCAAATTGTCGTCAAATAATATATGTTTTATTTAATAATTTTAAACGTTTGTATATTTTGACAGAAAAAATAATTTAGTTAAAAAAAACGAACATATAATTTAATTATTGAAAGTGAAATTTAAACAAACGTTAACAAGATTTTTCACTGATATGTACAGTTGCATTCATGGACTCTTCTTACGCAGACAGCTCCTTTGAAATAGGTTTGTATATAAATAACTTTAAATGAGGCGCATTTCTTTTCTATTGAATCTCGTCCACCACGCATGATTTGGTTTTCCTTAATACGCAGTTCAAAAAACTTTGTCATACATGTACTGAAAAATATGTCTCGCAAAGCTCATACAGGATATTATATTACACTGTACTCTGTGGTAAAAAACAATGTGTCATATAGAAGATTAAAATTTTTTAAAAATGTAAATTGTTAACTTCATTTTGCAACAAACATGCTGAAGTACATGGTCGAAACATGAACACATATATTTTGAAAAAAGAAAATGGACGAATTTCCAATGTTTGTGTTACCCCGAGCTTTTGAAAAATTGCTTGCTAGATGCATCACAGGCGTATACATGTACGTCTTTATGTCCCACATTGAAAGAAAGAAGGTTAATCAATGGTGAAAGTTAGTTTACCTTGAAATGTCTAAATCTAGTTAAAAATTTTCCTGTAAAACGCTTGAGGCACATATTATTCATCATTCTGCTTTGTTTTTAAATTTACATTGTTATTTAGGCAGGTCGCAGATAACTCAGACACGCGTGTAATGGACGGAAACGGGCATACTAAAGAAAGGGGTCAATCCTCGGTCATAGATGCTGAAACCGATCGAAGTTATCACAATGTCTCCAGGCGAAACAGAAGATGAAAATATTATTTATACAAACTCAATGGTCCTCCAAAGAACTTTTAAAAACTGAATTTCATATCATTGCTTTCTTTCCAAATTAACCATGTTAACCATGCCAGTATTTTTGGAATAAGCAGAGAAACGCGAACAGGTTTGTATACACACCATCATCAATCTTTATAGCGGTTTGCAGGAATGTTGTTTTTCAAGCATCATGAAAAGAGATTAGAGCACAACCAAAAAAAAGAAAGAAACTGCAGAAGAAAAAAAAATCATCAATAAGCTCTAGAATACTTACGTCCAGCTTTCTCTTGGTCAGTAGACATATTCCTATATTATAATTATTCACTATACAATAGCTGGCTCTGGTGTTTGTGTTTATATTATGATCTGCCCTCGATCGACTGCTCCCAATGAATGGTTCACTCCTGCGTTATACACCTGTTTACGCTGCGGAAAATTTACACACTTGACAAATGCATTTCGAAATGTTCAGGCGTGCGGGTTTTTCCGATTTTGTACGATTACGTATGTTTGATGTCAGTTGCGTTTGGTAATCAGAAACTCATTTTTTTTTTATTTTAATATGTAGGAACTCAATTTTAACATGTATTATTCATTTTCAATTAATATATGATTCGTTGTTTTGCTTTTTTTATTTGGCCTTTATCATTATACTTTTGTTTTAATTATTTAATGCTCTAGATTGTGTTCCTTGGAAAATTGATAAACATTATCTGCATAACTCTGTGGTTTATAAGGCAAGCGTAATGAGAAAAATTAAGAGTAACGCCTACAAAATAAAAAAAGAGAGATCGATGATTGTTTCAGCATAATAAAAGTGTAATCTATGATATTTATTGAAATGAATTAAAAATGTTTTTAAAAAAAATGTTGATGTACATTTACATCAATAAATATTGATTAGAAAAAAAAAAAGATGCTGAAAAAAGAAAGAAAGAAAAGGACGCAAGCGTATCCTGAGCACAAAATTTGAAAATAACTTCAAATAAATATATATAATATAGTCACGAGTTTGTTGACTAATTCGTATGAATTCATATTGTACTTAAGAATGATTCAGACGAGTTTATTAATGGAAACAAAACCAAATCATTGAAGCGGATATTCGTTATTAGACATTTATTCACGTGTCATTGACCACAACAGTATTTACGTATTAACAATAGTGACGATTCTACATACATGTATATAGATTTTGACCGATTGTTTCTCATGTATATAAAACTAATAGATGATACATATGAATTTGCATTCTGCATAGATGCATCAGAACACACACTTCTTTTCTTGATATTAATACATACACATTTTACGTGTACATTTAATTTGGATAATTATACACATGTAACCTGATCCCAAGAGGATCTTGAAAAAAAATTCCCCCCAAGATCCATCAATGAAATACGGAGGTTTTATATTTTCCCAGTAGTATTTTAACCTTGTGTATCAACATTCAATTTTAAAAGATGCACACATTTGGGCCGGGGACACATTATATTTGATTTTACGCATAACTATATATAATCTAAGTACTGAAAGTACTGATGGGAGTTGATTTTAATGACGGTATTGTTTGACACCTCAAATTGTACACGACTTTTCAAATAATGTAACTTTAATGCTTCAAATTCTGTATGCAAGAATCAAACAATAAAAAAATGTAATAAAATGTTTTTTTTACACAGCTGAAAATCACATTTTAAGACATAATGTAGAAAAACAAGGAAATTCAAAGAAGTGTGGTCCCCAGCTTCGGGGTCTTTGTGGGTGAGATGTCATTATTTATGACATATTTTGCCAATTATAAACACCATATCATATATCATTCATAAGTTATCACCAGAGTTGATTCTTTTTAAAGTTAGGTCAAACATGAAGGTCAAGGTAAAGGGATCAGACATTATCGCATACTCGAAAGCATCTTGCCACATACAATGTATTATGGATATGTCAAATATGAAAGCCATATCTCTTTTCTATCAAAAGTAATAAGGAAAGAAAATTAAAAAGGTAGGTCATTATTTGTAGTTAGAAAGGTGTTTAAGGACAGATGATACAAACAAACTAATGTCAAAAAAATTGAAAATAACAACTTGGGTCATATGTTTTAATGAGTAAAATGAGTACCCTAAGGTAAGTTTTACCGCGTAGTTTTTATTCTTTTATTCAAATTTTCCCAAAAATGGGATTTTAAGTGAAAATATTTGTTTAGATTAATAAGGATGGTTTCAGGAGGGTAGACTTTTGAACTTCACAGAAGGTTTACAGTTTCTCTATATTCTAGAAATATATTATTTGCATCATTTGCAATGAAATTAGAGCAAAAAATATATACCAATCCAGGCATCCATCTTTTGTTTGTATCATCTGTCCTTAATACACATGTTTAGTACACAAAAATTTTGGCCAATATTAAGTAATGGTTTAACTTTTGAAAAGTAGGTCAAACTACAAGGTCAAAAAGCATAAAAACAAAAAGCAAAATCAAAATGCATTTAGAAAAGGCTTTTCAAAGGCAAATCAATTACACATATCTAATATGAAAGTCTTATCTCTTCTCAATTAAGGGTATTTACCACAAACAAAAAATGGATGCGCGGGTTGATATAGATTTTTTGACTGATTTTGATTTGTAATGACATAAATAATTAATCCCTGAAATATAAAGAAATCGTAGTTTTTCCTTGGTGCTTAGATTTGAGATTTTATTTTGCCTTCTATATAATTCCGTACAAAATTTTGCACAATTTTTTAACTTTATGACAATATCTTATAAAATTCTCCCACTCTACTTGGTAAATTTAACATCATTCAGGTTGTCAATTTAAATGTAAATCTACAATGTATGAGAAATAATACTGATTTCTGGTGATAACCATTTAAGAAAACTGAGAACTTATCTATATTTACTCTGTTTAGAAAATATGAAAACTTCCTTTCTCAATAATCGAAATACGATCAATACGTCTAACGTTAACTTCCTACTGTTACCTGTTTATATGAACAATAGGGTTCTTAATAAAAGATATATGATATATTTTCCTTGTACTGTATCTGATTAAAAATGATTGGGAGATAGAATTATCTCCTTTACTCTTCCGGAGTATAATATCACCACTTATACGAGCCAGGTCTTAGATAAGTGAGTGTGTTTCAGTAACACTATGTCCCTCCATTCTGGATATCTTCAGTCCTCTCAGATACCCTTAGTCACAACCCATCATTTCGGATAATCTAGGTCCATTTATATATAGTCTAATATTAGTCGTTTACTTCTTCTTTCTTTCTCGATGAATCCATAAAACGGTAAGGCCATGGAAAATTTTATGAAGTTGAATTGTGGCAATGTTTTAATTTTTCCCACCCACCCTCCTCTTGGTTTAGAACAAATACTTCTGTTCTTGTTATGTTTTTGTATGAAGAGCGCCTGCTTGGTCCTGCATCCACAACAGCCTATGTCGCAGTGGTAGTTGCGATCTACCCAGTACATGATCCACCCGATTTGGGTCGTCACATCTGTTGTATTGATTGTTGATTGTGGGGCAGCCCTGTGGTAACCCAAGCAAATTGATCACCGCGGCCAGAAGCTCCATATGAAACAAGCAAAATAACATCCATATTGTTTGTTTGATTTATAGGTAATCTGAAATAAACAATAATTGCTGTTTTTGAGGTCAATACAATGATTTGGCCATCTGAGGAGTACAATATTCATCGAGCACTTCTGGCTCGGTGAATATTGTACTTTGAAACAACCTGACTGGGTAACCTGTCACCGTGTATTCTTGATAAAAAGGTTTCACATTAAATGTAATATAGAGAATCAGGCGCCTCGATCTAATAAGACCTACTACCTCCTGACTCTCAAATTAATTTCCCTATTACCTTACCGCTGGTGTACTCATTGTACCCTAGCCTTACGTTTTCATTTTTCCTTTGTCTTCCTTCTTCTCTGCGACTTCACAACAATTCCCCGCAGCTGTCAGCTTCACTGACTTATATATCCCTGGAACAATCTATTTCCAAGGGGTGTTAGGTTATTCCATTCTATGGGTGTGTTCTGTACATCGATATATACCAAACATTTATTGAAATTCAGTCCAGCCAAAACTACTTCCATGAACTTTCAAATGTTGCTGGACTGTTACATGTACATAGTCCAAAAGGCATCAGGGTAAACAGGAAGGACTATTTCTTGTCACAAACGCAGTCTTCGGTTTATCAGGCTCATTCATTTCAACAGACAAGTAGCCAGAGTGAAGTTTTTGCGTGCAAAACCAAGAAGTTCCTTGAAGTCTACATGTATCTAGGGAATCATCAATGCGCGGTAAAGGGTAGGCGTTCTTTACCGTTTTGAATGTTAAATGACCGATAATCAACGCAGAACCTTTTTGTGCCCTCCTTTATCTCAACAAAACAACCCTAGCAGCCCATGGACTTGAAGAGGGTTCTACGATGCCTTTCAAAACATATTTTTCACTTCTTGATCAACGAACTCGGCAGCATCTAGCATGATATTCTTCCAAAGTCAGCTTTGCTCTTGGAAAAGATTTCACTGAACTTTATTAGAACTGAACTTTATTAGAACATCTTTAATTTAGTCGCCTTTTCCTTTGACAAATCAGTTTTTGTTTTATCAAATAAATCGTACACATGCTCAGGAACGGTCCCTTTGTCCTCTTCAGAAGTAACGTTATTTACAATGCCCTTTTCAGGCACAAATACTTCTCTTATTGAGGATGTCAGTCCTTTTACTGTGTTCCTAAAGATTGTCTGAGGCTGACTAGAATTGTTCATAAGTCTGACTGACACGTTCTCAGATGAATTAAAAAGCGACCTGACCACCAAGGCTCTTCCACTGTCCTGAAACTTATTTAGCCAAGGGTTCAATCAACAAAGGTATCTGTGGAAGGTTTGATAGGTCCAACACTTGACCCAGACATACCATGTCGCTTTTAGGAGGAATAGATATGGTTTCAAATAGACTGACGCGAAAGCAACCGATATTTTCTTGGAGTCCTAATTCATGGTTTACTCCATGACCCTGCATCTTGTTCTTACAAACGTCGATAAGACACTGGTTTGTTTGAAAGAAATCTTATCCTATAATACTATTCGCTTTTATGTTAGCTATTACTGCCTGGGTTTCAAATTCTTGAGAACCAAGTTTTATGTAGAGTAATCCTTTCCCCTATACATTAAGAGGAGCACCAGTAGCACGAACGATTCTCTGTGTAACTGGTGAAAGTCCAGTTTAGCACACAACCGATCTGATAAAGCAGTAAGAGTTGCCCCTATGTCTAACAACAAATTACGCCGAGTTCCATTTACCACCTCCTAAATAAACAAACCAGATTCTTGTATGTCTTGGTCAACTTTCGGTGAGGTTGTGCTTGAAACTATTGAACCACTTTTCTTCTGTGAATCTGTATTTTCCTTCAGGGTGATT